AAGTTATTAGTCTTCACTGAGTAAAGCAGCATCATTACCAAACGAGCCTGATCTATCACGCTGAGCCAAAACATTGCTGTTTTTCCAAGGTGGCCAGATCTCACCTTGTGTTCATAGGTCATGTAGTTATCAAGAAGTTGTATTGTGGCATTATCCTTCAGGGCATTGTCAAGGTTTTCACGACTACAGTCTTGAACAATGTTGATCAGAGTAATAGGATCTTCTACTTCATTGATCTCCTCTTCAACAAACTTCTCAAGTAGGAGCCTTTCCATAGATTCACTCACCGTTTTTAGACAAAACAAAGCCTTGGCATAAGCTTTTCCCTTCAGTACACTGTTAAGGCAACCATTTGTTACTAGTCCCGCCTCAATTAATATTTCGCCATACCCAGATCCAGCACATTTACGTGAGGTTATCATGGAGATGTAGTTCATACCTGTGTGGAATGCTCCTGGTATTATCACATGCTTGGAGTATTGTTCTGGATACTTCCAAATTAATGGCAACGCCTTCATGCATCCTCCAAGGTCAAAGGTACTTATGACATATTCTTGGCCTACTTCTGCGGTCGCTTCCTCAGATCTGCGTAAGGCTTCTTTGATAACTGAATATTCAGTAAAGGGCTGGTTTATTTGCGTGAAATACTCTATGGTAGACTTCCGTGGAGGGGCAACACCAATGGCAGAGACAAAACCACCAAATGCTGGTACAAGCTGTTTGTTACTACTGCTTCCAATTACCCGTGCAAGTAGCCACACCCGGTATTCTTGCATAGTAGATGCATTTATGACATTGTTCTCTACTGATGGCTGGAAAACAGACCCTTCTGGAAATTTTGGTCCTATGCGAGTGTATATGTGAACCGGAGCCAATGTCTCAGGAGTATCTATCTTGTTGGATCGACTCTTAGTCCTTTCATAAATCGGGAGCTTTCGGTCTTGGTTAGTGACTTCAAATCCAGGTTTTATTTCTTGAATCATGATCCCCCCAGCGCTATTGACAACATTGGATCCGTGGAAATTTGTAGTGATCTTATTTAAATTGTCCCATTCAACGTGGAACACAGCATTTCCTTCCCCAGTAATTATCTGAGGAGTAATAGACGTCGAAACCTCATCAAGCGCCTTTGCCAACGCAGTTTCCAACTCTAAACTGAAATCATATGTTTCGCAATGGCCTAATCTGCTCAGTATATTGGTGAGCTGTTTACTTCGGTACAGATGTCTGACAGTGGTGCAAAGAAGAATGTGCTTAGGTAACTTCCATTCTCCTTTCGTGGCCGCACGGCAGATGTCCTAGGAAGAACAAATAATCATATCATGAACAAAGGGTAACATTACATAACAAATACATGGCTATCCTGCATCAAGAATATAGTTCTTATTGACAGAAAACACGGGGGGCAACATTTGGAAAACACAAAGAAAAACAATCCCCAATGAATGATATCAACCCACGGAACTAACATTTGTAAATCTAGGACAAAAGAAGGGAAGCAAAAGTTCAGTACCTGCCCAATAGATAGGATTAACCGTTTGGTTTTCTCATTGTTATCCATGTTTATTTCTCCTGCTATTACATAGTTTAGAAATGTCATCAATTCAGGAGGTATGGAAACCAGGTTGAGGTCTTCAGCTGTAGGAGGCCAAGGCAATTCTTTCACTTTATGGAATGACTTCATTATTATTTCTCTGAGACCAATGGCTACATCTTGATGTATATCACTGGAGCCTAGTTGGAATGCACGAGAAATGGCGTCTGGTACAGATATTCTTCTGTTGTATACCAAATTGTAGCTAAGACAACCTTTATCACCTGGATTTACTTTTGAAAACCCGATGTCCTGGTATATACTGTGTTCTTCAAGGCGGGTTTTCAGTTTTTCAGCTCTGAAGTTTGGATTTGGGAAGCCCTGACCCTCAAGATCATCAATGTATACTTTCCTGAGATGGGAAAGCTCTACCACTTCCATTTTATTAACCACTCTGTCTTGTATAACATTTAAAACTTCAGTAAAAGCTTTCTGGTGAGCTGCACGCTTGTTATGCCATTCAGAGTCCAATACTTCACTTTCACTTTTACTCTGCTTTAATTTACTATGAGCATTAGAAAATTTGTTTCGACATGACCAGTGAAACTGAGCCTCTCTGGCAAAAAGATCTTCATCTTTAACTTTACGATAGAGGTGGTTATTTCCAAGTTCCAAGGCCATTGTCTGGATTTGCTTCCAGGATGGATCTTGATTGTGTTTACTCTTCATGCCATCACTATGTTTGTACACTGCAAATTTATTGCACCTTTCAGTTTTACCAGAAACCTTCACTTCACTTTTATCACAGAAAATACACTCAGGTGGAAATGGCTGAACTGCAGAGGAAACAGCTGGCTTACGAGGTGATCTTAAGGAGGTATTTTCTGAAGGTTCTCCAGATTCAGTGGAGTTTTTTAAGCGATTAAGGTTGCCTGTGAACCTTTGGTAGCAGCCTCTATGATAACCTGTGGTTGATAAGTCTAAATTTTCAAGAGTGCATGGGAGTTTAGAACCTGCCTCTGCCATTCTATATGGAGATGTAACTGGCTCCAAAAGTCGTTTTGCTTTAATATCATTAAGCTGGGACAGTTTGTCATCTGCATTTCCCCTTGCTTGAGACAGAGATATGAAGTCACCCGGTGTGATATTGTCAAAGTGCAGAATGCATTTTTCACATGCACGTGAACATTCATTTGAATGTTTGCGTTTCTTACTTGCCATAGTTATTTATAAGTTACTAATGTTGAGCTGTCACACTAAATTACTACCCATTATCACATCCAGTATTCTTCAGGACCTGAAAATATTTATAGCATAAATTTTTTATGTACCCCCTCCCCAACAACTATAAACAAAAGGAAAAATTATTAGGCCTAACAAAAGAAGAATTCCCATATACAAGTATCTATTAAGACCTTCAAATTATAAATTACAGGAGTTAACATAACAATGGATAATTCTAAATGTAATATTTGTTTTAGACTCTCTTAAATATTACACATATTTTCTTAACCATTACAGCCATTTCTTTCATCACAACAGTTAACTTAATACACTCAATGTTATCATGTAAAATTATTTGCAAGCATTTAATAATCTCTTTCACAATAAGTTCAATGGGTTTTATACTTCTAGGGATGTCCTAGAATATGGAAAGCTGCTTAAAAGAAAAACAAACTAATTTTACTATATTTAAACATGGATTTACAATGCGTGAATTGATATTTTTGATCAATAAAGTAGGTTTTGTTGATATAGACACATGTATAGGTAAAAAAGAATGGGTAAATGGATTGCTTGACCCAAAATTAGTCAGAAAAATGGGTTCACACAATGTTCTACCACGTCTGGATCAAAAGTTATGACAGATTAAAATTTTCGCTAGAATTTCAAGATGGCCGACAAAATGGCCGCCATAAAAGTACTATGGGACATTAGTTGGCAATGTTAACAAATGAATTCATTAAATAGACACCCTAGGGATTACAAAAATGTATGTGACTTATTCACATCTTATGGGTGCATGGGAACCCCTTGTTCCTACTTTGGATATTCTGAACCAAAAATGGATTGATGACGTCACAATTAATGCAAATTAGCTAATTTGAATAACTGAATATTGTAACCATATAGTAAATTTAATAAGGTTTAATCAGATACCAATATCATCTCTATAGACCAAATAATGGCGAAGCTACATTGATTCAAGACTCCAAGGTAAGACGTATGTACAGTATATTATTGTCAAATAATGACATTCACGATAGCTGCCTCGAAAGTTACATAACTTTCGTAATACTGATTCAATTTTGAATCTGTTTTCACTTTTATGTTGCTTATACCTTCTACTAATAGAATAAAGGACAAAACCTTTCAGAAATTTTGCCATACGGCCTCAGTTCTAATAGATACCTTGCTATAGTTGGAAATTCTGAACCAAAAATAGATTGATGACGTCATAATTTATGCAAATTAGATAATTTGCATAATTGAATATCGGAAATTTATTGGAAATTTAATGAGGTTTAATTTGGTACCAGTATCATTTCTATAGACCAAATAATGACAGAGCTACAAATGATTTAAGATACCAAGGTAAGATGTCTAAAGATGCGTAACCATGGTAACGGAATGCCGCATAAAAGTACTATGGGACATTAGTTGGCAATGTTAACAAATGAATTCATTAAATAGACACCCTAGGGATTACAAAAATGTATGTAACTTATTCACACCTTATGGGTGCATGGGAACCCTTGTTCCTACTATACTAAATGGCGGTTTCAAAATTTTCGAAACACGCTTCGAATACTATTATGTTTTCTGGCGTTTTGATTTATATCAAAGCTTGTTAATTATTCTGGATAGGTGTAATGAATATGCTTACATCGATTCAAACATCACAGCGACGTGTTATTTTCGAAAACTGACTGGTGAGAAGTTGGGCAAACGGAGGTGGTACGTAGGAGACGCAAGCTCTGGAACTTCCCCCTCGTGTGATACCACTAAATCTCAAAGAATGGTGCGGTAGAAATGATAACGAGACCAACATTGTCAGATAACTAAAATATTGTAATAGATTTCATTAATTTACCGACGGACGTTCAGCATTTTCAGATAAATAAAAAACCTGACATACACAAATGATGTGATTTTTCGTTGTTTGTTCTTTTAATGGTAATATTGTGATATATTATTCACCATTAACGCAATCCCACGCTGTATGTATGTCCCTAAGTTGTATCTTTTGACGTACAAGGAGACATGTGGGAAAACTGCATATGCAATCATTTAAAGAACATTTCTATGAATCAAAACATAAAAATATTTCTTTAATGACTAATCAACTCAGGTTGATGATGATTAAAATATATTTGTCAACGTTTACAAAAAACGACAGTGGCTATAAAAGCTATGTATTCAAATAAATTTTCCTTTATTTTTTTAACTCTGGATTGGTCGAAACATGAATTTGCTAACTGTTTTTGGAGTTATTATTCTTTCAGGGTTTCTTTTAGCTATAGTAGCTGATGCCAAGTCACGTAAACCAGAAGTAAGTAAACGTTTTTATCTAATCATTAATACCTAAATCCGTTATTTTATCTTAAATTGCCAAATCACCCGACAAAATTAAAGAGAAACATAAAAATCTACTTTAATTCAAATGCTAGTATTTATTATCAAATTAAAAGACTTAAGCCGTCGAATCTCTTTACCAAGTAGTGATTCTTTTAGCATGTCTCAAAAAGGCCCAGCGGGAACTTTCTTTGCTCGTTTGCAGTGGTGAAATTAACCTTACTGGTTATGTTAGGGACAAAGTATGAGTATTGGGTTTTAGGATGAATAATAGCAGAAGCCGCTAGACCGAGGCTATTAATTCTCCTAAGACCCAATACGAATGGTTTATCTAACTTAAACCCCATACAGACTCTTATGAAAGCTGAGTTATTCATGATCGAATTTTTTGAAAACTTGATTTATTTTATTATGACTATGAGGTAAAAGTGTTGAGAAGTGAGTATGCTTCGGTGTGCTTTATTACTTTGATTTGATTTTATGTAAACTATTGAATGAGTGAATAGGATGTAATAAGTTCAGCTTAAGTGCCCTGCATGTGAGAGTCAATTGTCTTTTGTGCCATGTTGGTTTTGGTTAGCTTGCCAAGTGTCAATTCCTTAAAAACAACAGAAAAAGAATGCAGTTTCCTTTTTATACAACTGGACATTCTTTAAAATAAACTAGAGCTCATTATATTGTGTTGCGACCTAAGTGCGGTTTAATATGCTATAAATGTTTGATTAGAAAGATAGAAGGAGGAAATATAGATTTATATATTATTTCAGGTACGCCCTCGACCAAAGCAGGTGAAATTGAAGTCATGTACAAAATCAGTCTGTGTCGATGCCGACGTAAGTTTTCAGATTCCTCCATATTTGAGCAAGATTCAAGATTTTATTGTGTTTCAAGTCAAAACAATTGACTTCCTCACAAAATCAATTACCTGACATAACTATACAGTTATACAGTAAAATGCATTTTAGCATTGAATATTAATGACCTTCAGAAAAAGCTCTTTTTGATATTTCATTTGAATTAATTAAAACATATAATCGAAAGTTTTGCCACTGAAAACTCGCCATAAAACAATATACTTAAGTTGTGTGTTGTTCATGTATTGTTATAATTTGTATCATTATCTATATTTTTAAACCCTACACATAATCAGACAACTGATTTCCGATGAAGATACATTCAAATATTTGATGATTGTTCTTTAGATAGAGTATATTTGAAATATGCTAATTTTAAAAATGGATGTACTGAATATAAATTACACTATAGCCTTTATAATTGCGTATGATAGAAACTTAAAACTGCATCACATAATATCCAGGCTTATGAGAATGATGATGATGACACGGAATTTGTAAGAGGAAAAGGAAAGGGAAAGGGAAATGGGAATGGAAAAGGACGCAGACACAATCATTCCAATAATCCCGAGGAAAAGAACCAAGACCCATGTGAGCAAACAATTTTACCATGATGTACTTGAAAATAGTATATTTAAACACAGGAACAGTAGATCTACCCGCCAGCATTTGTTTCAATTTGAAAATCATTTTTATATATTCTCTGGATAAAGATCTCTAAACCCTATACTTTATTCTTGGAATACTCATGCATTTTTACATGTAAATGTTCTATTAATGTGGATATTATTCATGTTGGTATTCTGATTTATGTCTTGTTAAAATTACAAACATGATTTCTAATTCACACATAGCTAGGCAAGGTGTGTCCGATTCCAGCCAATCCGAATACAGTATTTGACATATAGAACAGTGTGTGAAATATCAATTACACATGCAAGGTCACTAGTTAAACAGTTGTCATGGTGATGAATGGACTTAACCCTTGCAAAAGATGTCATTGGAAATCTTTTTGGATGATTTTGTAGAAAAAGTGTTGCAATGTGTGAAAAGAATTTAAGCCCGAGACTCATTGTATGCTGTGCATTGTAGCTGCTTCATTCCACCCAGGCGTTGTTTCCTAAACTTTGCATTCCCGCTGTGAGGTCATGTAAAGGTTTTGACTTTGAAACCAACATCTTTATGGTATGATTCAGCAAACAATGCATTGAGTCCTAGGGGCCTAAATCCTTGAATAAAATACACTGTCCAAAAAACAATAAATGCATGAAACTTCTTGTTATGCATTTTCAGCGTTGGAGGAAGGGGACATACTACCAAGCATAAAAAGGGATGGCAGGGGTAGGGTAAGTGTCCAATTTCTTAATAACAGCATTTAAAATATCAGTAATAACTTTATTCGTGTTACCATGATTCTTTATAACGTCAATGGTATGGTTAACATGTAATGAAATAGAGGCCTTCGTCGTAACAGTTAAATGTTATCCGTTTACCGTCTTTGTCGAGTATGTTTTATTGTTTTTATTACATGAAGTTTTTCTTAAAATATTCGCGAAACATTCTGGCATTGCAACGATTTCGTTGAATAATTTAGTACTAATAGACTTGAGACAGTTTTTGATGCGATCGTTATTTGTTGGTTAAAATTATATCTTTATATTCTCTTAGTTTCGCCGCAATGCTATGGCAATAGATCCATATGATGACCGCTGGACAGGGGGAAAGGTCCCATACATAATACGTCCAGAATTTAGTAAGTTCACAGTAAACATTTTGAATTGAAAAAGTAACATCATTTATGATTCTCCGATGTTATTTTAATATAAAAATACTAAACTTATTAGTAAACATTTTGAATTGGATTCATCATTACATTGGAATGATATAAAAGACAACACTTATTGATACACATAATGATTGAAATTCACTCGACGTGTAAAATGTTCAATGGATTGAACAAAATATATGTAGATAAAAACGAAATTACCATTGCGTTGTTTAATGTGATATTTCAGATGATAATTTCAAAAACACTGAGTTCATTAAAATGCAAAATTGCAAAAGTCTCCATGGTTTCTGATTAGCTGCAGATGATTGCATTAATATTAATCGTTGATTTTTCATGATTTTAGCCGATGAGGATAAAAAAGTTATTCAAGCAGCGATGGAACACATAGAAATGAAAACACAGACAGACGCTACAAAGTGTATAGAATTTGTGCAAAGGACTACAGAAATTTCTTATCTCGAGATTAAGAAAGAAGCTGGGTAACTAGAATTGTCATATACAAAGGTTAAAGGTGCAACAATTAGTGCAGGGGGGGCATTCAACGATCACCGACCAGTGTCAAAATATATTTAAGTTTGGATATTCCATCAAGACTAACATTTTTATAATCTTCAAAAAAATCCCCTGGATGAACATTATTTCAGCTGATATTCCACGAGGTGTATGTTAAAAATCTTTACGTGGGACTCCTTTTATAGAAGCTTTGAACTGAATTAACACTTCTTTATGCTGACTTTGATAGTTTATCCATACATTTAAAAAAAAGGTATGTCAAAGAAGATGTAAAGTCAAATATTGACCTGATAGCTCAAACAAAATTAAAAATTCGAATTTTCTCTCAACAGGCCTTGTTGCCCCTTTAACATAAATATTCATATACTACATATAGTAAAACAATCAATAGTTTGATTTTAGAGTCACAAACGCGCATCATAGTCATGGACAACTTTTATCTCCTTCTCGATTTATTAGACTTGTTCCTACGGTTCCGTACAGTGCATTGCAGTACAGTACGTTGCAAAAAAGTGCATTGCAGTACAGTGCATTGCAGCACAGTACGTTGCAATAACGTACATTGCAGTACAGTGCATCGCAGTACAGTATATTGCAGTACAGTGCGTCGCAAAAAAGTGCATTGCAGTAGAGTGCATTGCAATAAAGTGCATTGCGGTACAGTGCATTGCAGTACAGTACATTGCAGTACATTACATTACAACAGTCTAGTGCAACATTTTGTGTTATTTAAAAATGGTTGACATTCAATGTTTTCCATATTTTTTTCATGTAGGTGCTCGTCGTACGTTGGGAATTACTGGTTTCTTGATGCGCAGCCAGTTAACCTTGACACTTACTGCATTAAATACGGACCAGGGGTAGCGGTCCACGAAATGTTACACGCATTAGGGTTCCACCATGAGCATATGCGTACTGACAGGGATAATTATGTGACAATTAACTTTGACAACGTAAACCCAGGTACTTTTGACTGAGTAGTTTTCACTTCAAAAATAAACAAGAAGTTTTTATCGATAAAAAACCTTCGCAATTATACTTAAAGGACAACTGAAATAGCTTTTCTCAACTTGCAGCTACAAAAATGCGGTTTTCTCAATTGTAAGCCCAACGTAGAGTTCTTGCGATAGTCATTATAAAATAAATGTTAGATAACTGCTAACGGTCATAAATAACGAAATAAAACTAACTGATCAATCAAATTGGCCCCCACGTGATAAGTAACGTCATATACAAAATATAGCTTTGGTTTATTGGTTCCTTAGTAATCACAACGTCACGGCAACCATAGGATTGTAGTGTAAACAAAAACAAATCATTTTGGCATTATGACGTTATGAGCCACGTGGGGACCAGTGAGAGATCACGTGGGGGCCAATAACGTCACAACCAATTCGAATATTGCTTATTAAGCAGCTATAACGATCGTTAGAGTGAAATAGTTTTCGCACTACTGATGAGAAAACATGTCCAAATACATTTATCAAAAAATTATATTGATTCCTTTAGGTTAAAAAATACCATTTCATATCTGCTTTAAGGAATATTGGGAATATGTCTTTACCATGGATAGTTACACTATGGTGTATTGTTACGTGTCTTTCTCATGTTGCCACTTGTGCAATCATATTTCAAGACATGCATGTTAAGTCATTAGAGAAAAGAAATGCGGAACGTGCGCTATGTTTGCCTCTAATCTTTTTTGTTTTGTATTCTTCGGATTCGCTTATTATTGTTTTTCGTAATATGGTAAATATCGTAAATGTATAAAGCTATAAAATATTATGAAAAACTTGTACAAACATGCATTTATATGCGTTTATATTCCAACCACAAGTGGTGACATGTTGTTATAATCTCCAACTTTTTCTGGATGGTATTCGGCGTTCGGCGTTCTCCGGTTGGCGTTCGGAGTTCGGCGTCTGTAACAAATCACAGGTGGTTACATTTTGCATATTGCCGGATTATTTTATATTGTCATTTCAGAGAGGGTTAAGAATTTCGAAAAGCTGGCCGATAGTCACAACTACGAGCCTTACGACTATGCGAGTATTCTGCACTACAGTTCCGATGCCTTTTCTAAACAATTGGCCAGTGGGCACACTATTGAGGCAAAGGATAGCTCAAAAACTGACTTAATCGGACAACGTCTTGCGCTTTCAAACAAAGATATCAGAGAGATTCAGAAGTTGTATGGATGTCCAGGTAGACTTACTTTAAAACACTTAAATATCACAGCATCTATATAATTTTCGGGTGTTTGCAAGGTGTACAATAATCGCGAAAATAAAATCCATTTGAAAATTTGATGCTTTACTGTAATGCCCTCAGATAGGTCGAAATTCCTCTGGAATAGCGGAAATAGAATATCTGAGGCAAAAATGAGCTAATATCTGGAAAAGTTTTGGGAGTAGATGTATTAAGAATATATTTGAAACGGCACTTACTTTGTGGTTGCCATGGTAACATTTGTAATGGTCACAATCAACACATTTTCCACACACACTACATAAAAATTGTGTTTTAAATCAGTGAAATTAATTTCACCGTATTATGATCACACATTAATATTTTAATCATTTTATTCTGATTCCAACAGTTTGCCGTCAGGGAGCCTAATTAGTACAATTAAATGATAATTTAATTAGTCCAATTAAAGGGATATGTTTCATAACTTACTTAGAAACATCCCTTAATTAGCTTAATTAGGCTAATCATCTATTGATTCTTATTAAATTAAGGAGGGACATACGTCCTAAAGATATTTTATTGTTTGGCTTACCTTAATATGTTTAATTGTTATCTATTTTACCCTAAATTTCTTGGTTCAAGGGTGGGATGTGGGTTCTTTTCAGAAGTCATACTTCTTTGAAGTTCAGTGGAATAATGAAGTCCCAGTTACCTCGTGACCTTGACATCAGTCATGTGATCTTTGTCCAGGGGATGGATCATTCTTACTTCATTTTATTATACTTTCAGATGTACTACTCCCCTCAACAAACTGTTTATAATTTCATAAATCTAATTATTGCATAATTATTATTTATTATTTCAGTCACACCAGCGGTCGATCCACCCGTTGTAGGTAAACCTATTTGTGGTATTTTTTATTGTATAGATGTATGATCTGTAGCAGTTTAGCTCAGAACTTACAAATACCTTGTGACTAAATGAGAAAATTCTGAGTTAAAATTGGTATGTTTTACAGTTGAATGAATGATGTGTCTCAATAAACGTTTATTTATCCAAGACAGTACATTTTGACGACTTATGACTCCCGTCACACCGGGCCGTGCACACGGTCTGTTGTCTTTCTAGTTTTTACTTTACTTCTTCTACTATACATACCCGAGAACCGTTGGAGTATTTGTAGTCTCCTAGAAGTGTAATATTTGATTATCATTTTGAATAGCAAATGCGTCTTCCGGCGTTTTAAATTGTTAGAATAGCTCTATTTCATCATGCATGATGGTTTGTTCATCGTTTTAGATTCGTTTTGCACCAACGAGGAGTCAGATACTCTATGTACTTTTGTGAACTTAAACGAGGAGTGTTGGACCGCTCTTCCTATTACGGATGATACAAGGCCGGACTATGAAATGACGCTCTGGGATTATTTCAAAGGTAATCACGGGAAAACGAGAAAGTCCGAGAATTGCTACTGCTTGGTTCGAGAAAGTTCGAGACTTGTTTTGCTTTTCATGAAAAGCACTGTTTTTGTTCTTACTTAACTGAAAGGACTGTGTAATTTTATCTTTTAAAATATGAGTACATGTAAGAATACTACAGCATGGGTAACGCCCAAGGAGGATTGGAAGCCAGGGTTCCAACTCGATATTCTTTAATCTCCACGCATGCGTCATTTGCTATTCGTGTCTGTATAATTTGTACGACTGCATGGAGAATGACCCGATACTCTCCAACAAAGCTATCGCTAGGTGATTGTTTTGCAGAATATCGGTGTTGCATTCTGGGAGCCAATCCTCCTTGGGTAACGCCATTGAATTTGAATCAGTAATTAACTGATTTTTTCTGATGCACCGACATACTATTGATCCTCTCAAAAACGATAACTGCGATCTAGAAAGAATGAATACCTACTTTCTTTTTAGGAACGGCGCTTCAAATGGACCCATCAAAATTGAAGCCGGGTACCGTTGGTCGCTTCCAGATGAACGGGGTACCCGCGAACACATATTGCTTTGCAATCAACTACTACATGTTTGGTGCAAATGGAAAACTTGAGGTGTATGTAATAAGTAGCACTGGACGGGAGCTGACTGTGCATACTATTCAAGGGCCATTACCCGAAGACACATGGTATTTCAAATATGTCACATTACTGCAAGCGGACACATTTTCGGTAAGTTATCCAACACAGTTTCGTGGAAAAGTTACTAGAATGTGGCACTTAAAGAAGGCAATCATTTTCGTTGGTCAAAAATAGAGCTCCGTGTCAAGAATGTTCCATGCGCCAAAATTGTTTACACTTTACAAAACATCATTTTACAATTTGCATGTATGTACATGTATAGTACGAAAATTCAGATACAAACGAGTTTACAACAAGGAGGATAGGCTCGATATTCGACCTTGACCTTGGTCGATGACAACATTGAGAATGTAGTTATTTTCTGATATTATAACTGACTTTTAATTCTGATTTACTATTTATGTACTAACATCTTGATCACTTCCTGTGTGTTTTGAATTTTTGTTTGGAAATACGACAAAAAATTCGCAATTCAAATTTTGAAGGGAGAAAATGGCGAACATTTTGATTTTGAATTTTCTAATCAGGACATGACTGCGTGATTATAAAGTCAAAGTCATAACACCGTATTTGGAAAGAATATCGATATTGCATTCTGGGAGTATTACCTCACATGCCAATAAGGAAGTGAGGTAGCAACTATCAAAAAGTAATTAGCAATATATTAGCTGATCGACTGAAAATTTTTGATTTAAGTTAAAAACAAAAAAATATATTGGTCCGGCTATGGATGTTTATAATCATTTGTATTGTAATGCGGTAGTTAGTATACCAGAGAAATGATTATCACACGAATCGCCAAACGAAACATTATAGTCTGCATGTCAATGCATTTAATTATAAAGTTCCGTTCTTTGTGTTGTAGGTTGGACTTAAGGGAACAATGGGAACGGTTGGAAAAATGCTAATTGATGACATTAACCTATTCACGATGCCAGAATCTGGCTTTTGTGACGATTTCATGCTTGACAAGAGACGGAGATGATTGCGCATGCGCTTCTGACGTACTATGTTTGCTGACTTTAACTACCGTTCTGCTGAGGCAACATATATTATATGTCTTTATTTATGATTTAAGTTCAATAAATTATTATCTGCAAAGTTCAACGTTTTTTGATATATGGTCTCTAGGTGTAGGTCTATGTGTAATCTTGAGCAAATGACTACGATGCAATAATCCAAACAAAATGAGATAATAATGACACTCATCCTCATGGCATCAAACATATTTTTGTGCCATGGATAAAGATGCTTTTTATAAAGATCTTCACGGGCTTAGCTTATTGCTGTACATGTGAAACATCAGAATGATGACGGGAGGCCCATCTTTAGCATTAAATACTCATCCCATTTAAATTTCAATTATTTATCGGTATGACGTTTTCTCACGTTAATAAAAACCGCGTTAGCATTGTATCTTTCTAATTACTCTTTTACAAAGACATTAAGGTACTTTATATTTACCTTTTGACTCGTAATCCGTATTCACTAATACGTTGGGTATTACGTTTTCCTTTTAGTCTTATATATACATAGTTTGTCAGATCTCAAGAGAACATAGTTCAAGAAGTGACAAAATGTGTTCAATGGGATATCTATTTGCTGTTATTATTACGTCCTTGGCACTTCGTGATTTAACAGTTCGAGCGGGTGTTATTGACAATGGTGCTAAAGTGGTAAGTACATTCATTCCAAATGCGTTAAGAAACCTGTTTCAGAAAAGTAATCTGCTCTATTGAAGCGAATCCGTTTATCTTGGTTTCAGAAAATATACAAAGAAATACATGTAGCACAAAAAGGCATAATTGTTTTATCACAATTATTCAGGTATATTTCTCACTCTCTGACGTTCAATGCTGTAGTACCAATTAAGATAACTGGACATAACTTAAGGTCAGCGGGTGCATACTTCATTACCAATATCCTAGTCTTGAAGATACACACCATTATTTATTGCCCATAGAATTTTGCAACACATTCTCTATACATACGATATTATTGGGTAAATGGAGTTTTACTTTACATACGATGAACAAGTAAACAAAAAAGTGCCCCGGGAATACATGAGTAAATTGCACCAGACGAACTGACAGGCAGGGGATAACTGACCCTGACGGCACAGCAATATCATTTAGTAATGTTTTAATGAAATGCGTCACACTATTTATTTTACGGTAAATTTTATGAAATTGAATCAAAATTGAAGTCGCGTATAGGCTATCACTTGGGCTAATCAATGAGTAAAGAATATGACTGTAAAATTAATTCATCGTTTTTGTTATTACTTTCGCAAGCGCCTTTGTCTTTTTCCGTTCTTTGTCCGCATCCAATGCTTCTTTGCTGTTCTCAACGAACGCCATGAGTCCTTTAGACATAAAATATGGTTTCCTAACCCCATCGTTTCTTTCACAGTCCTCGCAAAAACACAAAAATATCGTATCGATCGTCATCTCATAGACTTGTAGGAAGCAGTGTGAAATAAAGAAGGCAAAACTACATGCAAAGAGTAATGGCACCCAGAAAAAGTTCAGCCCTGCTGTGGTTTGTACAATCTTAATGAATTCAAGTCCTACAATTCCGACAATCGCCACAGTTCCAACTTTGGCGAGGAAAAGTACGAAGAATCCGACGGAATTTATTGCGGCGACTCTGAGCACATTCGCCACAAGCAGTAGAAACGCTTTCTTCGCAGATTTGCAGAAACTGTATCCATATATTGCGATCTCGATGTACGCATTCCTGTTGAGATATTTCAGGAATTTTTCAAAGCACCATAGCAAACACTTGAGGCACTTTAGTATGAATTTGGCGACTGCTCCAACACCTGGCTTGTTATTCACCTTTTGATGAATGTACCCTAAAATCATCCTTGCAAGCTGCACGATGGCGATTATTAACGAACCAAACGCAACTGATCCAAGATGGTAGCATATCAATCGTTTGAGTGATGCACAGATTGGAAATCCCATCTTTGACTTATCACGCTTGAAATACCAAGTAGCAATGGCTCCGGCGATTACTACTTGTTGGCAGGCAAGGATAAACTGGCTTATCCAAAGCATACCGAACACGTGGTACCATTTTGTGTAGAAAAGAATTTTATCGGCCTCATACGTTACGACATCATCTTTGACGATAGGTGGCGCAGATGTGTGCATCCAGGCAAATATGTACAGAAGCCCACCTATCGTTCCAATTAGAATGATTATTGTCCAAATCGGTTGAAACAAAAGCATCGGTATTTTGCCCAATGCGCTCCCTGCCTCCATGAAAAGTTGTACGACCAATTGTATTCTTTTTCTCATCACCAGCATGACTAGGCACACGATTAATGCTATCCCAGATACCACACTGGCGTAGATGAGCCAGGTTTGTCGAGTTTCTATGTCCACCGAAGTTACCAATGATGCGTCTTTCAACTCGGTCTCTTTTACGTATGAAAAGTAACCATACCAATTGTACCAACAATATGCACTTGCCGCTAAAGATCCTAGTACACAACCGATTACCATTATCCAAATAAGAAGACAGGCGAAGAATTTGAGCAGGAATATTACAATCAAGGATATCCCGAATGCGATGGCACATAAGTAAAGGATAATCTGCCAGCAGTTGCTTATATCCGAGCAAACTTTTGCGACGAAATCTGCATCCAGTGAGTTAAGGATTGTTGAAAAAGAGCTTATGACAGATTTGCCAACCTTTATAAGGGTCTTTGGTATGCATCTATTGACAAGCGATACGTGAGGTTCAATAGGCGTGGCCGGACACTCATCGTCCGCTATTAGATGTGCGTTAGGATACGTTCCAACTAGTTTGTCGTAACGACATAATTTCACACCATGAGTGGTCGCAAGATCCGAGAGATCCGATGATGTAACACTCGGGCAATCACTTACGCAGATACGCAACGACTGGACCAGGGGATTAGCGAGTGAAGTAAAGTCGAAATAGTACACCTTTGTTTTTTGAGTCATATCACGTCCAGAATGTTGGGCATCTGGAATGCCTATATTTGGCTGAGCACAAACATTACCCCAACTGTCGGTTCCATGTAATAACTTGTTTGGATTTCCACCAAGGAAAGCAAGAAAAGAAAAATATCCCATTCCTCCGATAAATGCTATCATTATCAGTAAGAACAATACGTCTCTGCAGCTGCGGTCCTCCAACGGGCCATCGAATTCATCTTCTTCAATTTGGTCATCGTTTGCTGACTTTACTTTGGTATTGATAGGCTCAATTTTTGTTTCACGTGAACAACAGCAACCTCCCATGATCGTAATTGATTCAGTCGAAATATGCAAACTTTATCACACACTTTTCTTCTCATATTCTCTCATCCTTTCTGATCGATATTCAAACATGGCGGCAAAACAAAATAGATTTGTGACGTATGTTATGACGTTATTCAGATTGTCATGGAAACTTTACTTCAAAGAGAAAATAATAACAGTTCAAATCGTGATATAACAACAGGGTTTACGTCGGTCGTCACAAAAGTCTCGAACTTTTTGTTTTTGCTCTTATCCAAGGAAGTCATATTTCCATTTGTTCTATAATATTAAATGAGAATTTAAAGAACCGGCGCGACCTGTCTATATTTGGCAAATTCGTCCAGTCTAAATGCGATCATAAAAAATTCACTTTTCGCAATGTTTTAGTTGGTCGTACCAATAATATTTATCAACGTTTAATTCGTCATAGTTTTATATAATTTTAGCCAAAATAAGCTCTCATGGGCGAAAATCTAATATCATGTTATCATTTTTGAAATGCACTTTCGTTGAAATCCCCGTTATCTTGAGTCTCATGAAGTAGGAATATACGAGGGATCTTCAAATAGGTCATTGACGATTTACGGAAGACATTCTGAAAAGAGATTCGATATGATCATAACATCGATAAAATCGCATCCTCCAAGCGCAGGGCTCCAAAATCCAGAATGTATCCCCCCTCTCTTCCAAAGAAGTTTCTGGACATCTGGTTAATGATAACATCAATGCACTTTACAGGTAGTTGTGCCTCCAACAAAGGAAGTAGAATGTATGGTGGAGACATGCGTTACGGTAAGTAAACAAAGTTTACAAACCACTTTTATACAATAGAGACATACACTCATAAGTGACAGCATTTAACTTATGCTTATTACGCGTATAGCCATGTTGTTGAATAAGTGAATTGACGTTAAACAAAAATTACGAATAATATGAACATTAACACATGGATCGATTCCAGTGCTTTTTCCAACAAAATTGAATTTATGGTTTAATAAATTCCTTGTTGGTAAGATGGATTGAATAGTTATATAACTTCTTGCCAAGTATCACTATGATTACCTATCAATATAACTATGTCTAAAGAAGATGAGGATTTACTCATTCATGGACCTTTTATAAACGATGGCTCCTTCTAAATTGTAATATTCATTATATACAGGTTTTTAATGCTCATTGTAAAGGTGTTTAATATCCTTGTGAAAGTATTCCATGATCAGTGTTTATTGTGCATATGTTTTAATTTTCATTGTGTAAATATTTCAATGTTTATTGTGTAGGCATTTAAGGCTGCGTTTTTGAACTGCCAAATATAGTTCAGAGAAAAAATTGTTTTGTATATCTATAATAAAACATCGATATCAATAATAAAACTGTAAATTTGAAACGTTGAATTACACAACAAATAAATATTGGAAATACATAGTCGCTTTATTTATAGGTGAAAGAATCGGCCGAGGGCGATGATAAAGAGGAAAATGCTCTTGGAAGTACGTTTGTTTCCTCATTGTATTTCTATCCTAAAACAAATTGCACGTGCATCTTAATCTGCAAAGCTTCAATACTATTAATATGTACATACTTATGCATATGTAAATATACTTCCTTCTGAGTTCGGCAACCGGAAGTCAAATTTCGGACCACGTGTCAAGGTGTCGCTATGGCAATCCTTCGAAAACTGAAATTTCAGTGATACCTTTAAGCTTGTTAATGTTTTGGATCGTGTCAAGAAAGAGAGCCAAATCCGGCCAAAACCTATTATTTAAATTGATAATTTCTATTCATTAGATCCGGATGAGATAGGTGTTGACATCGTGAAGCCTCAAAATACAGTTGACAATAGAACAAAGGATGCGACTAATGTAAGCCAATTTCATTTTTATATTTCTAGGATTCCTTGTAAGTGTTTGACCGACGTAAACGGTGACTTACTCTTATCAATCTTCCCCCTTTTATCTACGCAATCACAAAGTAAATGTGACCAAAAGTATCCTACTTTAAAGAAAGAGTATAATTTTTTCAAACATGATGTTTAAATCCAAAAAATTGTGACACCTTTTCATCTTCGTCCCCTCAGTTCCAATAACGAGTGCGCTTATTGTCAAGTTATCTTACTCGTAACTGATGATTTGTAAAATGTCTTTCCTAGTTTCGCAATGCTGTGAATTTAGAATCTAGCCTCAGTGAGTGGATCGGACTTTGGTACCACAGCAAAAATACAGAACCACATGGTACTGTGTATTACGAATGGGACAAATCAATCAGTAAGTATCATAGTATTAGTAAGTACTGTTAATGGTGTTAGAGGCTGAACAAGGTTTTTGGTTCTTTGCCATGCCGCTCTTAAGATGCATGTCAATGTTATGAACATTTGCATCTGCGTAAGCAGTCGAACTACCTTTTTTAACGTACAATGAATATCATAGCTAGTTGCTGATATTTTAAATACCAGACAAACAAAACTGGATATCTTGTGCCGTTATATATCTATGCAGACCCTCAGTCACATTTTCTCGTCGGCGAGCGTACGGAAACCCTAGCTTCACAAAATTGATTGAAAATCTACATCGTACTCGCTTATTCCTTTATTTTATGCTGCATATTTCTCTTGATTTGGGGGCCTATGGCCGCCGTACGGTTGCCGTCGATCAAATATGAATGAGGCATTTACGGCTAATGTCCATTTCAACTATTCCGTTCAGGATCACCTCATTATACCGACGCGTATTATACTGAAACCCATTATACCGACGCGCATTATACCGAAACCCATCATACCGACGCGCATTGTGCCGAAAACCAACATAGGCCTACCGATGCGCGTTGTTCCGAAATCCGTGCCAGTGGGACGGCACATTGCCTTAACCTTTCAGTTTTGTGACATGCACTTCTGCGTGGGACTATATCTTTACATCGGGAAGTTTTTGTCAGCGTAGACATAAAAAATTGCGGCCCTCATATTCGCGCGTTTTTCAATATTTTCATTTGAAACTCGCAAGAACGGTGCTTTGAATCTAGCTCTAAACTCTTTCAAAACGTCATGTAGACACATGATTATATATATGTATGATAGTGCACAGTAACATTATATAGGCATAGAATAATAAAAGTGGGGCCTGAAAAGTCAAATATGGTGCTATGTTGAAAAGCCAAGAGAAATTCTACTGTATCAGCATATAAAATAGATAATTTATATATACTTTATCATACATCTTGGTTCAAATTATACATGCTTTTTTCATTGGACAGACAAGTCTTGAGACTGGATTTTAATCTGTTTTTATATATTCATATTCAATTAAAAGTTTATCGCGCAAAGACATATTTTCAGATAAAACCTAGGGATTTAAAATCTTTGAACATCTTTACATCTCAGTTGCGGCCAGAAATTTTTTAACTGATGCAAGGCGTTTCGGATTGAGGGGTCGTCTCAACAAACTTAATTCCAGTTAATCTGTATTTCATTCTAGGATAAAGTCATAATTCTGTTATTTATGTTTCATTATGGTAAACACTGTACTTCATAAAATATATTTAACCGTGGTATATTCTGTATTGTATTCAATGAAGTAAACATTTATTTATACTGTATTGTTTCATTGGTAGAAATAAATAATTGTACTATTAAATATAAAGTTTCACATTCTTATTGAACTTGATAATTACTGTATTATCGATCTTGTGCTGATGGGGCCAGAAAGAGAGAGCAAGATATGTTGTCATGGAGATAGTAAGAAACGCATTCATTTGTTTTACTTTAAATCTCTACAAATCCAAGTGTGATTTTTATCAACGTGTGCCCCAATGATCCCATTAATTCTGAAGTTATTTCATTTTCCAACCATTTCACAAACATTTCTTTTCATATAATACTTCTAAATTGGCATCATTTCCATGTTTAAATTGCTTATATAGTTTTTGGCTACTGATATTATCTTTATCATCAGTTTTTATTCCACAAACGAAATATCAATTATTTTGCCCAATATTTCAGTTTCATTATTTTGAAACATTGAATACATGTTTTAATTGGCAGTTTAAAATGGTGCTCATTAACTAAGTCCAATATTCAGCGTCCCTTTAATATATATTTAGGGGCAAATCAATACTAGGCTTAGCAGGTCATCTGATTCTCAATTAGATTTTGATATTGCAGCTATGTGTGTTGTGTTTTCAAGTGTTATTTTATATATGTCCGACAAATCGAATTATGGTTTTGATACTATCTAGATGTATTTAATAGTATCTATATGTCTCGTTCATTCATTTGACCAATAAAAATCATAACCGCCCGAAAGTAATATGAATAAAGTATGTACATAAATGAATTAAAACGTCAAATTAAGAAGCAAAAGTCTTTTCTGGGTCACTGCGAATGGCATGATTTCCTCGAGTCTCTTCAGTTGCAAGGCAACCATACTGGGACCGATTCGCGTCGTTCCACTACTGCCCTTGGTGGGGGCCCGCTACCATACTATATGACTCCCGGAGTTTACTAAAGCACGTTAGTGGAGGAACCAACCACAGTCTCACAATCTGTCTCCGGCAAGAGCGGCCAGAGAACCAACCCATGCCAAGGGCCGGTAAACGGTTGGACCTTCGGACCGGGTGTCCGTAGTGACAATGATCAACAACTCCGTACCTGGGGCTCGAACGCGGGACCTCCGTATCCCACGACGTTCAACCGCAAAGTAGCCTCAGTCTACGCCACTAGGCTACCCTGCTTAGGTGTCTAAACTGCTAAAAAATAATGTAGTTGTTACAATGATTTGCATGGATAAACATGATATTACATTTCTTAATTGATTAATCTGATTTAGTTGGAATCGAAGTTCGACAAACGATCAAGGCAATGCAATCAACAACTCTTGCAAATGTGAACGGGAGTCGTAAAGACAGAAAGTAAAAGAATCGTGATCAATGTAAAGTATAATATTTAAGACACATCTTTGAATATCGGGTAGGAGAAACATTCCAAAATGAAGGAGAATCATTTAGAACATTTGATTTGTTGCCAATATATCAATTGCGTCTCAAATGAATGGAATACAAGGTATCGCGGGCCACTAAAGCCGATGAGTGAAAACAATTGTCACTGACGCATCTAGATCGCTCAATATATTTCGACGCTTGAAATAATCTGATTACGCTTATTAATAATTACGCGTGGCTAGCTATTAAACACAAGTGTTGTGTAGAACAAAAACAAGAAAACTGAACGACCTATTAAGGAAAGTATTTCCGCATGTTCAAAAACACAAAATTTATATTTTAGGCTATCCATATTTTGTCAGATATCTCCTCTTCATATAACAGGGAAAACATGTAATCATGTAATCATGTTTCCGAAAAGAATTTACACTCGCTACTCAAATTGAGGCACGGACACAAGTACAGAGAATAGCCTAGTGAAGGCATCTAACTAATAGTGGCTTTTCCATATAGCTTTGAAATCTCGTTAAGGTCTCATTTTAATGAGATTTTGGGAGATCTGCATTTTTAACCACTAAAGAATAACATTTTCTTCTATTTGAATTCTGTGTGTAATTTTCTATCAAAACAACTTAGTTTTTGCACTGTTATTTACCTTTATTCAAATTCTAGAGATTTTCAAGTTTTCTAAAAATGGTCGGGCTAAATCCCCATTGACAAAGTAACATACATTGGTAATATAACAGGCTTTCGTCAATGTAACAAAAGCGAGGCGCACAGTATATGAATTACACCTTCATTTACAAAACAAATTCCAAATCGAAGAAACTTATTAAAACTAGGCTATATTTTCTAGCTTTGGGCCAAATTATAATCTGCAACTTGACTTATTAATAGGTTTAAATCGAGAGAGCAAAAAATTCGTAACCAGGAAGTCCATCCATTTTGTTACATTGACGTTCCGTCAAAGTAACTAGTTGTGGAACAGTGATTATGGCATTCGGTATTACGCCTTTCGGTACAATGCGCGTCGGTATAATGGGTTTCGGTATAATGCGCGGACCCCTTCTGTTCTCTATTTAAATATATTATTTTAGCCGAAGAGCTCAAAGCTGTTATTCTTAGTGCATTGGAAAAAATCCAATTAAAATCAGGCGGACCATCGGCTAAATGTATCAAGTTTGTTCCAAACAATGGGTATTAACGGCTAATGCCCATTTTAACTATTCTGTTCTCTCATAGTTTTTAAATATATTATTTTAGCCGAAGAGCGCAAAGCTGTTATTCTTAGTGCAATGGAAAACATCCAATTAAAATCAGGCGGACCATCGGCTAAATGTATCAAGTTCGTTCCAAACAATGGGCAATCCAGAAGTCATCTGACAATAAAAAGTACGAATGGAAGGTGAGTAAGACGAACCCTGCTGATCAAGAGGAGGGTAATCCCCAGAGCTTAGACATGGTAAACGAATAACTTCTCTTGCTTAACCTTCGTTTGTCAGAGGTTTCACCAGTTAGTTTCCAAACCCATCAATTTTTTATTGATTTCTATTACAGAATAAATAAACAAATAATAAAACCATTATTTTTTGCATTGTTCAGGTGCCAAAGCGGAACAGTCGGGAAAGACAAGGAAAGTGATGCATACAACTACCTAGAGCTGGGATCAAACTGTCCATATGGCACGATAATGCACGAGTTTTTTCATTCATTGGGTTTCTACCACGAACATACCCGCGTAGACCGTGATTCTTTCATCAAAATAAACTACAATAACATTTTCAATGATCCCAGCGTCGTTAGTCAATTCGACAAACCATCCGGGGAATATTTCAACGACCAAGTAAATCTAGCACCGTACGACTTTGATAGCATCATGCATTACAGCCAGTATACTTTCTCGAAAGACGCTGGGGCTGGTTTGAAAACTATTGATCTTGCCCCGGGAGTAACTACAGATTATAATATAGGCCAACGAGAGCATCTTTCGGCTTTAGATGTTAAGGAACTGCAAATGTTATATGACTGCCCCCAAGAAACATACGGAGGTTTGTTAATACTCACCTCATTTTATGTTACATCACGTTCATATAGATCCTGTATTTTTACTCATCTTCATAATTTCTACAGAGATCCCGTATTTTACAATCAATGGATTTGAAGTCCCTTTCAAAACCCCTCGTGGAAGCTGAGCATTTAGGTATTAAGTCAAGGGCAAAAAAGAGTTATCCAATTCAATAATTCGGTCCTCTGAACTTATTATTTCAAGAAATTAAGATATAATACTTAACAAGGTTCGTTGTGATTTGATTTTTAAATCACATCTATACGCTCACAATTTTACAAACATTACTTCATATACGAAACAACATTTCATGTTTCTTTTCCTGTATACTTCGTGTTCCATTCTTAGATCGATCTAAATCTGATGGGATTGTGTTCCTCTATTAAATAGGTAATTAGGAAACTATGATTTTTATAAAGTCGTTTTAATATAAACCGGTGTAAAAGGGTAGGTGGTCCTATCAAATTTTGGTCGTACTCTCAATTGATTTATATCTGGAGACCTAATTACAATTATTTTCCTTATTATTTATACACAGTCGGGGCCAGTAAGGGCCGTAAGGAAATGAGACCATAATCCTATACCCGTGCTTCTCAGGGGAACGTCCAGTTGTCAATCTTTTTGTGGTAAAATGATCACTTACTATGATTATCATCCTTGGACCAAGTGTATATCACTTCTTTGCATGATTTGAAGAAACGAAGTCTTCGAATGGAGAATGGTGAACAATACAAACATATACATATGCAACATAAAGGAGGGCGAGTTGTTTGTAGAATGAATCGGGGGATTTTTTTCATGAATTTCGCTTATGTTTTTCATCCAAAAAACATCAATACACTTTAAAACATTTTGTTTACTTTAAGATTACACCATGTAATCCAAAAATATATTTCTCATTTTCAAAGATAATCCATGGATTAACACCCAGGTATTTTTATTTTTCAATCTTCAGAGGGCTGGGAATCAATGATGCTCAACGCTTTTGAATACGATAAATGCTGTTTTAAATAGGTTTTACGTATGCTAATAATTTCTCAAATTATGTAAGCTGAATGCATTCCTTAATCCCTAGAATGCCTATCATAATAACATTCTTTTGTCTTGGCCACTTAATATGTTTTGTTGCTGTCTGATCATCAAATCAAATTGTTGTTATTTAAAGATGTCAGTCAAATCTGGTGAAACAGCACAACATTTACCTAAATAGCACGAGTACATATTATGTAACTCATTCATAATATTTCATGCATCAGGTATTAAGGCTTAGTGGATTAACTTTTACACATAAACTGAACTGACAGATGTGTACGCTTACATGTACAACTTCCAGGATTGTAAGAATTCAAAACTTGTTGATAGCCATATTTTCCTGAATGTGACATCGAGATATTATGGCATTTATTAGTGGTAAAACATGAAAAAAAAGCATTTTCATTTAAAATTAGCATATGATTTGAATTGATGCCAAGAAATGTATTAGTTAACTGTATCCGTTTTACATCCATTGCAGTTGGCTACATTATAAGACAAGGCGTTCACATGCTAATGTCAACACCTGCCATTTGTTACAGACACCAACTGCCAAACACCAACTGCCAAATGATAAACACCAACCACTGAACACCGTCCACAAAAAAAGTTTGAGACCATAACAATATGTCACCACTTGTGGTGGTGACATAAAAATGATCATGGAAAATTGTATTTTTTTTAAAAGTAGGAACTTCTGAGGTTATTAGAAAATTGGAAGACAAGGAAGGATTCTGGGAAGGATATTAGGGTTATAAATTGCAATGAAACTAAAACAAAACATTCTTTTTCTCAAATATCACAGTGTATGTTCAAATCACAAATACGATATCATACAATTACAATAAGGGTCTAGTGCACGTTCCATTATGATATCCCCATGAACAAAATGAATCATTTTTAGGTGTAACATAAAGAATACAATGTCACATAATACTGTGGAAAAGGTTGAGGTCATTTAGTTCAGCAAGGGTGTATTGACTTGCCATTGAATTGCACACTACTATACCCCCATACTGTATCCTGTATTCCTTTAAAAGAAGTACAAGCTACAGGGAAGTTGCAAATGGAGGACGTTTGTTTATTTCCATAATTCTGAATGTATACTAGATTTTACACATATTCTAAGTGTTCTACTATACATTGTATAGATTCATCGACCAGTTTGCAACGGATTATTACCAGAAAAGCCCAATGGACAAAGATAGAGAATATCCGCTCCATTTGCAACTTAACCGTACCCTGTATCATTTTTAAATGTGGTCACGTGGTAGGGTAGTGTGGAATGGGCTCCATTGACTTAACATGTGGATATCATCAATTCCAATAGAGGCCATTGGTTTCTATTGATTTTCACAAAAATACCTAAAATACGCTATTACCTGAATCGATTGCAAATTATATAATTTCACAGTATGACACAAATGGTATATCACATCAGATGTGCAAATATAAAGTTTGCAATCGATTCAGGTCATACTTCAAATTAAAAGATTATACATTTTTTCCATCATTTTTTCCTACAAAATGGCTATAGAAAAATGCTTCAAAAGCAACTTTTATACTAATGAAATCCCATACAACTTTCTAAATCCAAAGATTATACTGTTATGTTTCATTAATTAATAACATATTTGGATAATATGTTGGGATGTGTAGGATACAAATGGATTTTGACAGACACAAAAAGACTTCTTGGTTTGGCATCTCTACCCCTGTACACTTTATGATTGAATATTGGCCCTAATAAGTGGCCCATTCATCAATACAGTGCTGAATATAGGTCAACAAGATACTAGTGTACATATAAATGTAATAATACCTATAGCTAGGTCTGAATATTAAACTCCAGCCAAATAGAGCCACCACAATATTTCAACCTTTGTAACCCTTGCAAAAAGATTTTCTTGCAATAAAAATGTGAAAATAGCTTAGGGTACTTGTAAGCCAATCTGATTTTAAGGTAGACATGTCTCGATATTTTTCAATAATTTTCATGATTATAAATACCGATAATCAATGAAAGGGACAATATTTTCACATTTGTAATTGTATGTGCATGCATGGTCCATGTGTATGTTACCATAATTCTTTATATCCACTTAAAATGTCAAAAATATTGCCCAATTTATAATTATCAGATAATTTATTCATCACCAAAATAAGTAAAAATTATCAACATGCAGAACTACCTTAAAGAGTTTAATCTCTCACTCAGTCACAATCATGTCAACCAAAACTGTACTCGTGTTACATAATGTAGGATTATACAGCTTACCATACGTGTGCAATCTATATAGCATCCACACTGACATCTTTACAGAATCATATATAATTTTTGAATATAAACTAACTCAACCCAATAAGGCGAGTATTAAAGAATTTACTTACCTGCCATCTAAAGATCTGCTTGGAACTACCATTGGATTACCATTGGAGAATATTCTAGGGATTATGAAATGCATTCAGCTTACATAATTTGAGAAATTATTGGCATACGTAAAACCTATTTAAAACAGCATTTATCATATTCAAAAGCGTTGAGCATCAATGATTCCCAGCCCTCTGAAGTTTGGAAAATAAAAATACCTGGGTGTTAATCCATGGATTATCTTTGAAAACGAGAAATATATTTTTGGATTACATGGTGTAATCTTAAAGTAAACAAAATGTTTTAAAGTGTATTGATGTTTTTTGGATGAAAAACATAAGCGAAATTCATGAAAAAAAATCCCCCGATTCATTCTACAAACAACTCGCCCTCCTTTGAATCATTTGAGTATTTAAAAATGCATGTTAAACGATCGTACATACAGCAATAAATGAATACATAAGGCATGTAGCCATTGATCTGCATAAAAATTTAAAGAATGATATTTTATCCATTTCAGTTAGTAATGGTGGTGGTGCTGGAGACACAGGTTCAAGTAAGTGTCCGGGAAACATTTTATTTATTTATTTATTTTAAATAAACATCAAATATTTTAAATACAATGTACAATGAAAACGAGATATACCTAGAGCACTTAATGCTTTAGAGCAAGTGTGACTGATGCTTTACTGTACAGGGCGTCCACAAAAAGGTATACCCAACTTCAAAGCTATAAGATACTATAATTCTGAGCAATTTTTTTTAAATACGAGGGTAGCATAGGTAAGATCCTTTGTTTGTCCTCCATCCAATAGAACCTAGAACATTATGTAACTGTCATGGATGACTGACCAATTATGACTTTTATCAAAGATGGTAAAATCAGCACTGTGCCAAGGGAGCATTCAAGTAGGAAATACAGAGTAAATGTTTTTTGTCTTCAAAACATTATTAATTTTCAAATTCAAACTTGTTTCATGTTCTTCACACTTTTGCAAAATTGTCCATAACTTTTCGTTGGTACCTCCGTCTTGAGAAATTGTATCCGAAGAGCTTTTTGATCAGCAATAAAACTTTTACTTGATTGTCAATTGTATCCCCATGTAAAGTCATTTATTGAATCTAAACTAGTAGATTCATGTGGGACAGTATTTGTAGAATCAATTTCAAAAGTAAGAAAATGGGTTTTATAAACAGTACATTGGACTTGCTTCTTAAAACATTTTGTCGGCTCTACTGCTCGGGTGTCCGTTGAATCATTTTTTGCAGGCCTATTTTAGAGTAAGTTCAGAGTAAGTAAGCTTAGGTGTCAGTTGAACCAATTTTTGCAGGCCTATTTTTGATTAAGTTCAGAGTAAGTAAGCTCAGGGGTCAGTTGAAGCTTTTTTGCAGGCCTATTTTAGAGTAAGTTGAGCTTTTTGCCAAACCTTTTTTCATAAAAGAGATACTCACTCCCAAGTCAAGTTCAGTATGGAAGGCCTGTCTTCTAAGTTAATGTAGCAGAAAAAAGAATACTAAGCTAATTACACATCAATTGCCACACATGAAGGTAACTTGTCACAGTGCTAATTTTACAACCTCTCATAATGGTCAAGATTGCTCAGTGATACATGACAGTTACGTATTGATCTTGGTACCATTTGGTGGAGAATAAATCAGACTTTTTACTGCTACCTTTGTATTTTAAGAAATCTGCTTAGGATTCTAGTAATTTGCCTTTGAAGTTGGGTATACCTTTTTGTGGACGCCCTGTATATTTACTGTAGATGCAGAATCAATGTGCTCATTTGAGACTACGGATTCAAATTGTGGATTTAAAAACTCGGACTCGTCTGTGTGGAAGATCGTCGCTGCATCAACAGTTGGCTCTAACTATAATGATGCTACAACTTTAAGTAGTTCAGGTATGTCATTATTTGGTTGTTTTTTTTATCTACTTTGCAATTATATTGTGAGTAAGCAAGCACATGGGCAACTATTGAAAACCACACACATCGTACCCTAAATAAAAGCATTTTATGAAGAATTACATCTAAAAAAGATCCTTAAAATGCAAACATTTTTCACCAGATTTGCGATAAACGATAGTTTCGTTTAGCGCATACTAAGCCCCGGTGTATCAAATAAAGACTTGGTTTGATTCAACAACAGGTCGGGTGCTGTATTTGGCCCCAGGTGATTTTGGAAATGCAGAATTTACGGCAAATGTTCCCGCCAATCGTTATTGCCTGAGTTTGAGCATCTACTGCGTAACGTCAAACAGCAAGTTACAGATTTTGGCCAACTCAAATGTCGTATCTTTGTTACCGTCGTGCCCTGATGCTGTATGGTATACGCACTCGATATCAATCACGTTGAATACTCAAGGAACGGTAAGACCATATAGATATAGTAAATAAATAAGATGTTGAAAAATTAAAACTTTTTTAGAGGAAGGCTTGTAATATGTTTAAACAGGAATATTGTGGCTTGCCAGATTAAAAATAGGTGATAATACAAGAGCACATTACAAAATGCATGTTAACAGTCAAATAAGAACAATATTATGTAACATTATGTATAACCAAATATTAACTTTTCAGATTGCATTGAAAAGTTACCGTGGAAACTTTGGACATTTACTCTTGGATGATATCAAGTTACGAACTGGGAAATGCTAGATGCCATGACAATGCAGCTTTATATAATCTAGAATTACACAATTCGTCAATATGTAATTGAAATATTAAGATTCTCGCAATTTGAATAAAGTATCAGTTAGACAACGATTTTTTGTTTTAAAATGCACCGGCCCGACCACAGCCCAAGTGAGTCATGTTAAATCATTACATCTATTTTAATCATTTATTTAACCTCAATTTAGGTGGTTGAAGCGGTGTTCAGCGCAACGTAAGCTTACATGGCGCGGTAGGTTAAGGTCTGGTCAGTGCCCCTAGTGGAGGAGACAATTCAATGTAGACACACATTTAAATTTAGCTTAGATGATGAATCCGTCAGCTTTGGGTTGACTGGTCTTGTTCTTGTTACACTATTGACAGGTGTACATTTAGAGTATACGCTTTACTTGCTAGGTTTCTTAACAGTTTTTGGTCATTTCCCTGTGTTTTGGCATATTTGTACCTAGATATTCGTATTTCACGTTATATATTATGTATCAGAATAACAACTCTCACAAAAGCGATATAAAATCGTAGACTAAAGGGCGATAGAAATCATTTTTAAATATAGAGGGCAGACAAATTAATCTGTGTTGATTTATACTTCTCTTCGGGATTTTACAGCTGCGCTGTTACCCTCTTTATATCTACCCAAAAGCTACGATTAGAATTGTTTCCTTCTATTTATAAGACCCAGATAAGAATGGTATTGACATTGTGAAGCCAAGATGACAATCGAAAAAAGGATGCATCTCAGTCAGAAGATTTTGATTTTATAGTTTAAGGATTTCTTGGACGTGTTTGACCCACATGAACGCCGCAGATATATACGGGCTATGTACTGGGAGGTTTTGGATATGGGGTTTATCCAGAGGGAGATATGCATATCTACCTGAGGGACCGTAGGAACCGAAGGTAGATGTGCATATCTCACGAGGGATGAACCCAATATCCAAACCAACCGTACATAACTGCTTAATCCTGTACCAAGTAGAGTTTTCAGGGGCATATGGCCATTTCAATAGTACAAGGTGTAAAAATAAACAAACCATTCATATGCAAAGTCATTTTATTGCATTTCCACTACTTACCGGAAGCGGGAAGATATGCACCGAAGCGGGAAGATATGCACCGAAGCGGGAGATATGGCGGTAGATATGGAGGTTCTGGATATGGAAACCTCAAAATCAGGATACGGGATATATCTTACCAACTTATCTCCCCAGAACTCTACTTTGCATAGGATAAAAGCCCATCTTCCCTCTCTTATATATTTATATCATTGGAAAGAAAACGCGAGCAAAAGTGCCATACTTTAAAGGGACACATTTAATTTCTTCAAAGAGGTTTAAATCTGAGGGGAAATTGTGTCGCTCTTTCATCTCTGTTTAGTTGGTTCCAATCGAAAGAACTGAAGACTCGACAATGCTTGTTATCAATTTATTTTAAGTAATCGTTAATATGTTGCTGTCTGTGCTAGTTTCGGAATGCTGTGAATCTAGAATCAAAGCTCGGTCAGTGGATTGAACTTTGGTACCACAGCAAAACTTCAGAACCACACGGCAGTGTATATTACGAATGGGACAGCTCAAGTCCACTTGGGCACGAATATGATTGCTATGGACATCTCTGCTGTTTCTGTTTCGAAAAACTGTAAAGGCTACTGTCCATTTTTAAGTATGAGTCTCTCATAGTGTTAAATATTGTTTTAGCCGAAGGACGCAAAGCTGTTATTCTAAGTGCAATGGAAACTATTCAATTCAAATCAGGTGGACCATCAGCGAAGTGTATCAAGTTTGTTCCAAACAATGGGCAATCCGGAAGTCATATGACTATAAAAAGTACGAATGGGAGTTGAGTATTTGAAACCATGCGGATATCAGGAAGGAAGTGTGACATTTCTTATTTTTCAATCCTAATTTGCTTTGGGTAGAGCGATATATTTGCTTGATCAAAGCATCACATTTTCCACACTTTCAAAACACATTTACGACGGAAAAGATAGGTAAGAAAATAAATAATGAAAAAACATTAATCAATTTATTAATTCAAAGCATGAATTTCACTGGTATTGTAAAGTTCTTAGAACTGAGAATTTCTGATATGTTGTCAAATCTCAATAACTTTCTCTATGCCTTTTCCAGGTGCCAAAGTTACACAATCGGAAAAGACAAAGAAAGTGATGCATACATGTACAACCTCCTTGAGCTAGGACCGAGCCGCCCATATTGCACCATAATGCACGGAATATTACACTGGGTTTCGACCACGAACATGCCCGCGTATACCGTGATTCATTCATCAAAATAACTGAATAAATAAAAAATTAAATTTTAATTCAAAACGCTTTGTTATTTTGAGATGTACTGGGTGCTAATAAGTACTGTAAATCGGTCTGCTATTTCAAAATTTCAAACAAATTAAGTTGATATTCAGCAAATGTACAATATGTACTTCTGAATTGACAATCTACATTTTATTCCATTGTACAAAATAAGTAAAAGTGGTCTGAGGGCGGTAAACAAATGTCGACTGTTGTTAATACGAAAACTGCTTGAACATATCCATATGCATGGTTTCTTGAAATCACTTGTACTAAATATTCATTTAAAATAGTTTACATTAACCTAGACGCATATTCATTTTCCAGTCCTCTCGATCAGCTCGTTGTTATGTTTTGAAGAATGTAGTAACACTTAATTGTGCTTCATTTGGTGAATACGGGGCATTTGCAAGCTGTGTGAACCCTTTTTTCACCAAGAGTAATTATGGGCTGTTTGATATATAGGAAGAAGCATCGTCACAACCGAAGAATCCCCTCCGCTTTGTTTAGTCATGATTGTGACTCGGGGGGAAATGCAGTGAGAAATATTTGTAAAACATAAAAATAAACAGAAATATGTCTACCAAATAGGTACTTATTCACTAAGTAACCATTATTTTGAAACAAGTAAAATGAAAATGAGTTCAAATTATGTTTGACAATCGACGCCATTAGTCATGTTGCTATAGTAACAATAATGATCAATTGTAATATCAGAGAGATACTTACCGAGGCCGTTTAAATAACTCATTATTTCATTTCACATTTACCTTGAAAATCCTAAATAAATGAAATGACAGACACATTTTTCTTTTTCATATATTATTTTATTTCATGTTATTGAAAGGATTGGTATCGATATGGAGAACTGAATTAAACAATGTTTTTCACTTAAACCATAAAATACACGGCATTTTATGTAATGTTGACTGATTGACAACAATTTAATGCGAAAATTATATAGAAATATTTTATATAACTGTTTTTGTTAAACTTTTTTGTTTTTTTAGTGCAATTGTTTTTGCTCCTTTGAACCAATTCTTGAGAATGAAATAAAATGTCTTTCCGAACCTTGTTGGAACAAAATAGCATATACGACATGATTTTAGACCTCTCAATATTATAGTTATACAAAGGAATTTTTGGTTAATTTTTAAAAAAGTATTCAAAAGATCAAAACAAAATCCGCCCAAAATAGATAAAAATCAAGATAAACCTTTCATTTCATTAACAAGATACTTTTTTAAAATCAACCAAAATTTCCTTTTCACGATTACAATATTGAGAGACCTAAACATGTTGTGTTTATGTCGTTTTGTTCCAATGAAGTTCGGGAAGATGTTTCATTTCACTCTGGAAACATGATACCAAGAACAAAACAAGTGTTTGATGTGTTTTCGAAAACAACATAGATGAAAGTTTATATATATATTTCAAATTATACAAGGGTCGATCCAGATATTCTGATAAAAATGCTCTCATTTTTTTATTTTTGAGAGTTATAACATCAAACTTGAACAAAATGAGGATAATTTAATTGCTCATAAAATATGTAAGTTTAGTCAACATACGGGCACTAATGCGTTGCTAGGGTAAAAAATTGGTAACCATGGAAACGGGACCTGGGACAAGTAGCTTTTATGTCTCTTCATATTTTGTCTTTACATACGTTTATATCCATTATGACCCATTTTAGAGTCAAATATTCTTCAATTAGCATTTTAGCAGGTGCACCTACAATCAATTAAGTGTTTTATGACATCACAACAGACAATTGTCCATTGTGAGCAAATAGAAGCTGGCTCCAAATTCAAATCACTTGAGCAAGTTTTGTCAAAGTGTGCAAAAGTGAAAATCAGGTATTGAGAATCCATCTGAGAAAAGCCGTGAATAAACATCGCCTTGACAGAGATCTGACTGACTTCATCCTCCACCACGATAATGCCCCATCTCATCGAAGTGAATGTGTGCAAACTGCTATCAGAGAGAGCATGGGTATGGAGCTGCTCGGTCATCCCCCATATTCCCCTGATTTAGCGCCATTGAATTTTGCAATTTTTGGGAAACTGAAGAGTGACCTCAAAGGCAGGCGTTTTCATGATGTCAATGAGATGAAACCAGGGTTATGCGTTCCCTGCACACCAACTTCCCTGACTGCAATGATGTATACTCGCTGGGTTGATAGACATAGACGATGTGTGGCTGCACAAGGACATTATTTTGAGAGCATGCGTACATAAAGGACATAATAGTTGATTTAATCAGTCTGTGAGACTCTTGATTTTGTAGTGAAACTTTTATTCTAGTTTTATTGTCCCAGGTGCCGTTACCATGGCAACGGAAAAAATCTCCCGTGAGGAGAGTTATGAAGGAATAAAACTTATATTTTTATATCTTTTGCCAAAATAAATTATCTTTTGTCTGTCCAAATTACAAGTAATAACTTCCAAAAATAAAGAAATGAGAGCATTTTTATCAGAATATCTGGATCGACCCTTGTATTGTTACCATTCAAAAGATGACCATTAAATTGACACTGTGTAAAACTTTCAGAATTTTTTGATGACTGGTTTAAGAGAAACGTGTGTTCAAAAAGTTTGCCATATCGATACCCATCCTTTACATAATATTATATTTTGTAGGATTACAAGACCTGGGACAATATGTACATTTATAGTTTAGTACAAGTCCCTTCGATCGGAACACTATCATACATTCCTCATCCATATAATGTTGTGATGGTTAAGTTAACTTAAGATTTATCAGTGAAAAAGTAAGTAAAGTTAGTTCAATAATATTCATATGATATTCTTATACAGCTAAATGTCTTTTTTAGAAAGCGCTGAAAAGTTACCGTGGAAATTTTTGATCTTTACTCTTGGATGAATTAAGAAATGTAGACCGAAAAGCCGGGGTAATATTGTCGAATACACCCCGCAGGGCTAGGCACAAACGTTTTCTGTACCCTGAACGACCTGTACCCCGGACGACCTGCTTTTCGGTCTATATTACGATTCGAACATGAAAACGCACCAAAATGTTTCGAATATTCATCATGGTCCGCCATTACTACGACCCACCGTTATGACGCCACACATTACACGTATTTCCAGGGGTATTGATCGCGAATATATATATTTATCCCGGGTGAAATGTCGACTTTGTTTACAGTTTATAGAAGGCGTGAATACAGTCATGTTCGAATTCAAGTTAAGAACTGGGAAATGTTAGATTCCATAGTGCCTCAGATGTCTAATTTCTAGAATTCCATATGTAACTGAAGTAATAGGATGTGTACCCTATAAATAAAATATCGGTCATTTCTACGACAAATGAGATATGTTATGTTATTGTTCCCGGCCATTTCCACAACAAGCGTTTAACTTTTCTGATTTTCGAAAGCGCCTCTTTAAATTATATAGAAAAAACTATAATGTTTCCTCAATTTTATTTGAAAAACTTGTTTAAAAAAGTTACCCTTTTCTGCTTTTAAGTGGAACATTACCATTGGATCCCATATGAGTCATATATCGCTTAAAAACATTATGGAATACTAAACGTGTTCTTTATCTCACAGATGTACCTAGTTATAGTATATACTTTGAAAATAAATTATTCTGTTTAGTGTCAAGAATCCAGGAACACTCATGAAGGAAAGTCCAAAAAATAGAATTAGAATGGAAATTTGCTTCAAATTTACTTCAAATATTTTCATTACCATTCCTTAGACACATTTATTTTAGAAAATACTATAAGCATCCGATAGTTAAGACGAATCAATTAAAACGATTTTATACCTTTAAGATAGCCTTATAACACCCTATGCAGACAGAGCCTGTGGGAAATATTGGGTGCGGCGCAAATGAGCGGAGGAGCCCCTCTAAATATTGGGTGCGGAGCTACGTTTATGGAGCTGCTCCGCACCCAATATTTAGAGGGGCTCATATCTGAAGAACATTTCCGAATTTTTATAAAATCACACAGATACTGCCTGGCTTCCAAGATGCAAAAATAATTTGTATAGATAGTGCACCTTGAACACCATTTTTTATGAATGCTGGGGACTCAGTATTAAAAGGATAATTTCAAAATATATAGGTCTGGGAAAGGTTTAAGGCACACTGCGTCGCTATAGAATGAATTGCGCTACTATTTTCACAATTGTATTGATATTTGGTGTCAAATACACATATCTTGGTATATTTGAAGTCCCAAAACGGCTTAGTTTCAGAAATATCCCAAATTTAAATTCAAAAATAACCGTTAGCTCCGCACCCTCCGCTCATTTGCTCCGCACCCAATATTTCCCACAGGCTCTGTCTGCATAGGGTGTATAATGAGTGTGTGATCTTTGTGAAACACTGAGTTATTTGTTTTATGATATTGGAATGATGAAGTAGATATCTGTTACAATATACTCTTTACAATATTTGTAATTAAAGAAAATGATAAAGATTGTATAATCCCTTACCTTTTTGTTCTCTTCTACCCCATTGTTGTCTTAATAGCGTCGAATTTGTAGAAAGACTTTATTTTGCTAATTAAGCAATGTGTACTTATGGCCAAAGCTGAATTGAAATTGATCAGTGAGAATCACGTGTTATTAACTTTCTATTGTTATATGAAATATATATTCATAAAATCACAAAGAATTGAGTTGCCTTATTGTTAAACATCTCTTCATTAATCCAAAGAGATTTCTTTTTTACAGTTTAATTGTAAAAACTCAAATCTTATTTTAAGAGTTCCCATTATGAAGTGGATAAATACGGATATTTTGAACAATGACCATAACGTGCGAATGGTCACTAGTGTAATTCCGGAATTATTCAGTCAGTTTTGTTTTTCAAGTTTTGCGTATAACTCATGTATATAAGGGTTGAATTGAAGACATAAGTCACATTAGTTTTGCGACAAGAGGGGACTAGGGGACGATGGCAGAAAGAAGTAACTCGGGGTGGTTCCATCTAGGTCTCATAACAACTGCGTCTGTATTGTTCTGTGCGCAAATAATTCCCGGTGGAAAGGCCATATCAAACGATGTCAATGAGCCAACGGACGAAAACAAGGTGAGATTTTCCATCAAAAATAATGCGTATTTTTTACATTTACTTTTATATATTTTGAGATTGATTTTACCTACATGGCGATTAAAGCTAATAGAATGTAGAATGTTTATACAATTGTATTTTTGAAAAGGAAACATTTGTAACTGGCCCATCAACTGTTTTATGGACGAATAATGCTGAGATGTTTTAAGCTTGCAATTGTCACATAGCAGTATAATACCTTTTTAAAATATACCCTTGGCTTCAGACATATCCAAAGAACCTAGGCCTGCCAACTTTTGGTACATCGGAGAAACTATGATATATCGACTAGATTAATGATGTTGTAGGTAGTTCTGGTAGGTTGTTGTCCAAGCAAAATAGGATAAACTTATCCCCAATTTTGAAAAAGTACAATGACTGACATCATCAATCTAGCCAACACATCATAGTTTATTTGATGTCCCGAAGTTGGCAGGGTTTATGGGAACGGTCTATTGAAACATGCCTTGTCTAATTTGAATCCTAGGTACGACCCTGCTTTCTAGTCGTTGTTTTACCTGCAACAGAGTGAACAACAGTGTTATAGATGGCATCTTATTTGCATCGCTTTATTTTTGTATTACAGATATATATCAAACAGAATAAAAAATACAAATGTGTATTAACCACGTGTATGGAAATAGCGGTGAGCAATTTTTTATAAAGTAGAGTTGATATAATAGCAAAGACGTTATGGTATTTGGACACCTGACCGTAGTATGGTGATTTAATCCCTCTTATCTATAGTAGAATAGGATTATGATCAAATTAGTTGATTTTATGAATTTAACGAATTTCTTCGAAGAAAAGTTAAACCTCAAACGTTTTAGATCTTTACTTGCCAAGAAAGATATCATTTTGATGATTGCAGAATTCGAAATACAGTGAGCCTAAAAACTAACCTGACACTGCATTAAGACTACGCAATGCCCTCGCTAAAGCTCAGAGTCTCTGACAACTTCTTTAACGAATCATAAGAAAATAAAGAACATACCATTTCATTATTATCCCAAATCCTTAATAATGATATTTGTTATTTTCAGATTGGTGGGGAAGAAACGGGGATCATAGGAAGTAAATACACTTTACAACTATCATTTTATACATTACTATAATATTCTTCCAAAAATATCTAACTTAAAAAGTCATTAGGAACTCGAGTACACCACTGCGTTAAGAGCTCAAATGTTTCAGCATTGAAAGCAGAACCAAATTAAAATAGAGATCATTCACTATGTCACTTTAAAAAATAAGACGAATAAAGACATTTGAAATTAATTGCTCACGTTCTAATACCATAATGGTATAATGTAACTGAAAATGAGCTGGAAGACCTCCTCGTGTTTTTGTTTATTTATATCGTTTGCATTTCCAGATCCAGAGGAGAACAATAATGACACATGTAAGTAGAAGATACAGATACGATTTTAGAAAACCAAATCACAATATGTTTACATAATGAAAGATGTGATAATTACTCTATTACAAATGCATATTTCAGCTCTCTACCAAGGGGATATTGTTGCTCCACCCGTGATTAAAGGCGTTGCTGAATCAAGGGTGAGTCTCATTGAATAATATACGTATAACTGTTGAGTAGATCGCATTTATTTCAAGTAAATATACAATTCTAAAAATGAACCCTTGTGAAGGAAGAAAATTGCGCACAATTCTTCGTCACGCTTAAGTAAACATGCACAATTAAATTGGAGAATTTAATTACTAGTACTAATTACCAGTGTAATTAAAGTGGAGAACCACAAAGAGAGATCAAATGTTATGTATATTCAATTTTCATGATATACGATTTTTAACCGTCAAAGTTAGCATTGTTATGGTAAATAGAGATATTTGTGCCAATGGATATTTAACCATTACAATTTAACTTTATCACTTTCATCAACTGCTTAGATCCAAAACAAAAGGCTAAATAGCTTATGAATATACAGGACCATTTATCTCAAAAATTCGCGTGGCCACCGTATCATTATCTTGTAATGACAAGCTAGTCAAGTCTAATGAACACCAGGAGCTGTGCCCATGATAAATAATGAAAAGAAACACTATACAGGGTGGGCCAAAAAAAACAATACCCAACTTCAAATCAGGATAAAAATAGTTACATTCAATATGGTACATTGACTTACATATCATTTTAAAGGTTATACAATTTCAAACAATTTGGTATATAACACTATGTCGTGAAATCAATAGTAAAGTTTTATTATACTTATTTGGGAGGCCGGGTTGCTATTTAAGGTCTCCAGATTTAAGGGAGAAAATAGTAAATCTGTGGAATTATGTTAATTTTTTATTTATAGAATATCATTCATTTGTTAGGTGAATACATGCTTGGATATTGATATTTGCATCATTGTGTGACTAAATTTATTGTTGATGAATTTCAGTGTTGTTTAATAACATTTTACACTTTATTTATTTAAACTATTTTCACAATTGCTCAACATACCCCCACCCCCTCCCCTCTGCATCAGCAATAAGCTTCAAGTGGTAGCGCAATCTATCAATAGCCTTATTGGGAGATTTCTGTTGCAATTCATTTCAGCACTAGGATTCTGTTTAAGCTCATCAAAGCTGTTTATTGGATGCTTTTGATTGTACCATTTCCTTGAGATGGCTCCATGTATGGTAATCAAACACATTACATGTAGCATCGGGGTTGTTGGGTGGTCAAGCATCGAGATCAATCAAATTGACACCTTGTTTGCAAAGGAATGCCAATGTCTCCTGAGATCTGTGGTACGAGGCAATGTCGTGTTGGAAAATAAAATCTTTGTCACATATACGTTTAACGTCTTTTAACAGACCCCCTTTGAGTACTTATTAATAATAAACAACACTAAAATTCATAAACAATAGGTTAAATCACACAGTATGCAAATATACAAGCCTTCATTCACCTGACAAAATGATATTCTATAAATAAAAAATTAACATTATTCCGCAGATTTACTATTTTCTCCCTAAAATCTGGATACCTTAAATACCGACCCGGCCTCGCAAATAAGCATCATAAAACTTTAATATTGATTTCATGACATAGTGTTATATACCAAATTGTTCGGAAATGGATTACCTTTAAAATGATATATAAATCAATGTATCATATTGAACATAGCTATTTTCAGTCTGATTTAAAGTTGGGTATCGGTTTTTTTGGCCCACCCTGTAACAGTCATAAATGTGACTTTTAACTACAAACTTCATTCTCTAGTATACATATACAATATATTTGTTTTTTACATTTTTTAATAGTACCGCAATGCTCTTAACATGGGGTCTACTGATATGAGTGCTTGGTATGAACGATGGTATTTTAGAGCTAATAGAGAACCCAGAGGAAGAGTGTTCTACGAGTTTGATTCTTCTCTTTGTAAGTGTTCCTAGTATTTCCTAGTTGTTTCTGAGCGAGAGTTTTGTCAACATGGTCAAGTGACTTGGGGAATTTTGTGCAAACTTCACAATCTAGATCAATGTGAATTGATAAACAAAAAAGCTCGTTGGGCTCGTACGGTGTGTCATTCAGTTTCATTTCATCTGAAATTTCAAAATCATTTATATTTATTATAGCTTCCAGACAAAAGAACGACATCCTGTCTGCAATGGAGGAGATACAAATTAAATCAGGGGGAGCGACCTCCAAGTGTATTCAATTCCTCCCGAACAATGGCAATTCAAGGGACCATTTATTGATAAAAAGTACATCATCATCGTAAGTATACATATTTTGGCAATTATATGTGTGGGTATGCCATGTTATATTTTAATTGTCGTCATTAAAAGTGATTGCATGAAGAAATTTGTATATAAATTACTTATTTTCATCGACGTTGATTGCATGCTCCACCTCTAGGATAACCCGATGTAATTCAAATGACAGAATCACATCTAGTTGAACTACCCGTACGTAAACTGACTTAGTTATTTAAATGTTAATATGGAGATGGGAATTGGATACCAGATAATGGTGTTTTTCAATATCCAGGCATAATGCTCCTATCTATTCCTCCATTGACTCAACTTTGTGAACTTATTCTTCAGCTGCCAGAGCAGTGGGATAGGTAAGGACAAAGAGGTTCACCAGCCATACATCAACTATGGTCCTGGGTGTTTCATCATTGGCACTCTCATGCACGAATTGCTACACGCACTTGGATTCTTCCATGAACACGTCAGAAATGATCGTGACGATTACGTTGATATTATTGGCTCAAACATAAGGGGTGGTTACACTTCTCAGTTTGCAAAGCCAGAATATGCATCTGATCTCATTAGTTACACGCCTTATGATTACGACAGTGTAATGCACTATGGCAAATATTCATTTTCCAAAGATGCTGGGCAAGGATTGGAGACAATACGCGTTAAAGCTGGAAAATCTACTAATTTCGAAATTGGCCAGCGAGATCACCTCTCTAAAAGTGATATTAAAGATTTGCAGATTATGTATTCCTGCCCTGATATAGGTAAGCTGACTTTGATTTTTCATTATTATTTTCAGTAGTTGTTTGTATTTCCCATTTTCAATTAGTTCTCTGTAAAAATTTTAAATAAACATCACGGGATCCTCAGATCAAGCTTATGAAAGAATGCAATTTGAATACTGTTCATGTTATTGTTCCAGGAGTTGCCGCTGGCGAAGAGGCTGCTACTCCCCCTAGTATGTACCATGTCATATCAAAATTGTAATCACAAATGTATCTGGGGCTTGGATCATTAAGACAGGTCCTAAATCCAAATAGAAGAGTTTGAGCCCATTTAAGCATTGCGAATGGCTTTGGATTTACCATGGCAGAATAATTTTCCTACAAATTCAGATTTTTCTGTCACTGACAAATGAAAAACAAACGTCGAGCCCTTAATGCATGAATTTTCCATTTCAGACTATGTTTGCACTTTCGAAGCTGATGATTTAAAATGTGGATTTATTAATGGACATTCGTCTATCTGGAAGTCGACACCCGTGTCGAGTATAGGCTCAGAATATTATGATGCCACATTCAGTTTTCCTGGTCAAAATATAGGTAAGTCGAACTTAATGACTCGAAAACTGTTAAAACAAGGCATAAAACGCGAAGTTCATGAACTACATATCGCTATTTAAGGCTCAGAAGTACCAACCAATTATATAGCCAGTTTATATAAGACATCCTCCTTCTTAGCACTTCATATTAATTGATACGTCGCTTCAAAATGTTTTAGGCAATGTGCTGTACATGGCACCTGGGAGTGCCACCACCGACGCCTTGTTTACCGCTAACGTTCCACCTGCCGAATATTGCCTTCAAATCAACTATTTTTGCTATGGTTCAAACAGCAAGGCACAAGTCTACTCTGGTATGAAGGGTACAAAGAGGCTCATTTACACATTACCATCCTGTAATGATTTCACGTGGTATTACACCTGGATGGGCATTGAAATGTCAACTTCGGGAACAGTATGTACTGTATTCTAATGAATAGGCTATGGTTCATTTTTATAGAAACGTGTACACTTACGGGTAACCTTATGGGCCTCTATGGTCCTCTCTTATTATTATAAGCAAATACCTTTTGATCAACCTCCATAGTAAACAGTTGTCAATCTAATCAACTCTGTTAATTCATCCATTTCTAAAATCACATATATGATTCAATAGTTATTCTTTATTTTATATTAATTTCTTTTGTTCCAGATTGAGATACATGGTTTACGTGCAAACATTGGACACTTTCTACTTGACGACATTAAGCTTATGGAAAAACCAGCCGACTGGAAAGACTGCAACCAATAAGAGTGCTTAAAATTTGCAATTAAAAGCACCTGGTAACAATATATTTCGGCATGACAATGTGTATATTTATCTCATTTCCATTTAGTGCAGACGATGATTAAATTTCTAACAGAAATTTAAAAGAGAACGACTGTTTTATATAAGTTATTTTAATGTTTTTACAATGTGATACGTACATAGCAACGTGCACCATGTCTAGACAGCCAATGGATTTGCAGGATCAGGCCACGTGAACAAGTACGTGAAATAATAGATAACTGTTAGCTAAAGTATAGCATTTACTTATTAACTACAATTATTATAATGGTACGAAATGGCGAAACGTATACCAGTATACAATATTTTATATAGGTTGTCTGTATTTAGAGATAATATTCCACCAACCATACCTCTGTTTTATGATAAGATTTTTTCAAGGTTGATTGGCTCCTAGTATTCTTTGCTGATTCTTTGACGTCAATTAACCTTGTGTTCGTATAATTTGCAAATTTGCGTAAATATTGAGAATAACATTATAATTATTGTCATCTCTTTAACAAATACTCGGTCAATGGATAAATATTCTAGTACAATTATTACAAATTGTATCCTGTCAGGTAGGTAAAGATCGGCAAAAGATCCCGGTTGCCTCTGTGTGCATAGAATAGTTTCTGATCACTGATTAACGACTGCCACAACAATGGACTACGCGCTTGTTTATTGCATAGTAAGCAAATTACATTTTATATTCACCACCAGTATAATAGAATGAAACAAAAGATAAATCATATCTGTTGGTGCTAAGGTTCACTGGCGTGAACTTTTATTTAAAGCTTCAAAATTAATTTTACATAAAATAGATGGCATGACGGCCACAGTGAACTTTTATTTAAAGCTTCAAAATTTTATTTTACATAAAATAGATGGCATGACGGCCATATGCACATATCTCAGGTAGGCACTGGAGGTGCCTACCCGAGACATGTGTCATGCCTTCGCTCACCAGTGTAATGAATCTGATGATGCCAGTGAAACGCAACTTCAGACAACTTCGCCTTGATTTGGATCCTGGCCAGGCTACGCCTCTGATTTTAAAACAATCAAAATAGTATTAGTCCCTAATTATTGGGTCATTTCAAAGGATCAGTCTAATACCAGTCAAAGTTAGCATATTTATGTACAATTTGCAGATTTTGAACTGAATAATTAAAATTTGTTAATTAATTTGTTTTACATGTACAGTCGTATTGATACAGATATAATTACATTTTTAGATCAGATATTAGCAAGTTCCTTGTATATTATCTATGTACAGTTTGGTCAAAAAATGGAAACCCTGCATTTTCCTTATATCTTTGTCACTTTAAGGAATTACTCCCCTATATTTCCCACATATGTACATCATTCAACTTCTCATATATTGCCATATCCCAACAGGTAGGGACATTTTAGACGATGAATACAGGTTTCCCCACAACGCAATAGTGGACACTGGGCATGTTCTTTAAAGTGACTATCGATCTGATGATCATGAAATAAAGTAGGCTGGTAGCAAATTGAATGATGTACAAAAGTGTAGAATATCAGGGAGTTATTTTTTTAAATGACAAAGATATAAGGAAAATGGTATTAGAGATTCCATTTTTGACCACCCTGTACCTCTGGATACACAGGTAAATGATGATGGTCTTATATGGATTTGGGATATTATCCCTCTGTCTGCATAGAATATTTTGTGATCACTGATTAATGACCGCCACAACAATGGACTACGCGCTTATTGCATAGTAAGCAAATTACATTTTCGCTTACCAGTGTAATGAATCTGACGATGCCATGGAAACGCAACTTCAGACAACTTCGCCTAATTTTGGATCCTGGCCAGGCTACGCTTCTGATTTTAAAACAATCAAAATATTATTAGTCCCTAATTATTAAGCCATTTCAAGGGATCAGCCTAATACAAGTCAAAGTTAGCATATTTATGTACAAATAGTTATTTGCAGATATTATCAAGTTTCTTGTATGTTATCTAAGTAATATAATTCACAGGATCCTAGGAATCGAAATCGGGGTGGTATATTAACTGTAATTAGCATACAGCAATACAAAATTAGTTTAATTTGAATTTGTTACAAATGTATGTGCATACAATGCAATAAAATGAATTTTGCAAGAAAAAAAATTATTCGTTGATTCATTTAAAAGAAGAAATGTCCGTTATATATACCGATCTTGAGCTTCTCTAAATAGTAAATCCATTACAATTTGTTACTTGCATCATTGACAGACTGTGGTACAACTATTATTTTTGAAATTGGTAAATGTTGTCGGAAATTGACACCTTGTTATGTTTCCAGCAAAATGTATTTCAGTCAAGATGGAATGATTTTGTTGTTTTGCGATCAAGCCCTTGTGACCCCCTTTGAATCCCAACCCCCTCTTCCATGCCAAACACAATTCTCTACAAGTAAAATTAGGTTCTAACGAGTTGGTGCAAGCTACAGCCTTTGAAACTTGTTATGTTATGCTTACAATGTTATGCATTGTGCAAGTACATGATTATCCCTAGTTATGTGTGAGTATGTATAAATGTAGAAAGATGATAGTACCATCACCACATACTGACAATCAATTCGATATTCCATAGAACGTTTTAAACAACGCACTTCATTGTGTCCTTAAACTACAAGTCAATCTACCCTGGCGGAATCACCCGTCACATCCTTAAACTACAAGTCAATCTACCCTGGCGGAATCACCCTTCACATCGGGATAGCTTCTTCAACAACTGAACAATAACTGGATACGTGAAATGCCACGTCCACTATTAACGTGGAAAAGTTACCTCGTAAACGCTGGGCATTTACCCTTGAATGGTACCAAGTTACACATTGGAAATGCTAAATTTAACAGTTCATTTTCCATAATCACATAATATGTAACTGAAACAATAAGATTTGTTGCTTTTTGAATAAAGTGTTAGCTATTAAATCTACAAGAGGGAATGTTATTCAAACTGTTTTCATGACATTAAAATTGTTTAAGACATTTTTGATCGAAAGGAAGGATGATTAACGTTTCAGGCGAGTATCAAAACCAAAATTGGAATTTCCTTTGGATTAATTCACTTTAAAAGTGAAACATAATGTTTCTTATGTCATTAGACAATGAGTAAATTAACATTATTGCATCTTTACAGTTTGCACGAAGTTACTATGTCTGACTTTATTAAAGACTACTATTTGCTTTTGAACGTTATATACTGTCGTTTACAGATCTTAAATCTGAAATTAATGTAGTCATGAAAAAAAGAAAATTCCAATATTATTTTTACTTTTATTCCTTACGAAAATTTCTTTGAAAAAATGTTGTAAGAGAGATCATTTGATAATAATTTATACCTCTAAGTAGGTCTCGCGATTACCTGGATACGTGTGGAACATTTGTTTATTTGTTTTGTAATATTGTATTGTTTAAGTGAGCTCTGTTGTACGCTTTGCAATAGTTAGTAATGAAAGAAAATAATAAAGGTTGTATAATCCCCTACTGTTTGTCTTCTCCTAACCTCTTGTTGTCTTAATATCGTTGACTTGGCAGAAATATGTTATCCTGCTTAATAGCAATGTGTACTATGGCAATTGCTGTATTGGAATTGATCAGTGAGAATCACGTGTTATTAACTATCTATTGTTATATAAAATATATGATCATAAAATTGCAAAAGGATTTAGCCAGCTTATTGTGAAACACTACTTCAAATAATCCAAAGAGATTTCTTTTTCACATCATAGTTTAATTCGAGAAACACAAATCGTATTTTAAGAGTTCCCTTTATGAGATGGATGAATATGGATATTTGGAACAATGCCCAAAACGTGCGAATGGTCACTAGTATAATTCCTGAATTATCCAGTCGGTCTTGTTTTTCAAGTTTTGCGCGTAACTCATATAAAAGGGAAGAATTAATGATGTATCTAACATTGGTTTGGCGACAAGAAGAAGGGACAAGAGAACAATGGCAGAAAGAGGTAGTTTGGGATGGTTTCACCTAGGTCTGATAGCGTCTGTATTGGTCTGTGCGCAAATCGAAAAGGCAACATCAAACGATGTCAATGAGCCAACTGATGAAAACAAGGTAAGATTTTCCATCAAGAATAATACATTTTCTCATATTATATAAGTTCATACGTAGTATATGTTTTTACTCACGAGATGATTAAATCTGAATAGAATGGACTGTTTTATACCATTGTATTTTTTGAAAAGGAAATAAGAGCTTATGCTATTCAGTAATTATTAATTCGTGACCCACATACATGTAGGTAGGTGATATAGTATTATCAAAAAGTAGAATAATAGAAGCCTTTGACAAATAAATTCTAATGTACACATGTATATGCTTAGAATAAAGAGAATACTGTGACTTTTTCCGAGATAATTATTTCAAGTTTAATGTCCAAATGATTCTAAAGGGGATCTTAAATCTTCAGTAACTTTCGAATTTGATCAAACATCTTAATTTTTGAAAACTGCCATTTAATTTGGTTAGAAAGCGTTCTTTGTAACACATTTATGCCAACAACAAACTGTATAACTTGTAAATTGGGCGTAGCTCGCTTTGACGTAGTCGAGACAGCTGCTTGATCAAACTTTTAAAGAGTCCCAGCTTTATTATGTTTGTTTCTACTTTTAAGCAAATTTCACGGACTTAAGAGGGTGAAATTGGGGATTTCAAGTGCTACTTCTCAAGAAAATAGTCTTACCTTTCTATTGATTTTCTTGGTCCTTCATTGTCTCTTTCACGGCAGGAATTGGTTTCTCAAAATTAAAACTGGATTAAGCATTGCTTAGAATAATTATTCAGATATTTATTCTAATATTATAAGCATGATATGTAATTAATTGTAGTGTAATGATTTTCCAAAATCAATTACATAATTATCTTGAAAGTTACTCATTTTAACTCGGTGGCCTAATGGTGGCATCAGTCTTGTGACTTTTGAAAGTTCAATCCAGAATGAATCTTTTTATTTATCTCCGAACCATATTTTATTTTTTAATCTCTTTTTTAGCAGAATGAGCAACATAACTGCAGTGTTTTTGTTATTGTTGTTGGCTTATTTCTTATATTACAGATATATATCAAGCAGGATAAAAGATACAAATGTGTATTAACAACGTGTATGGAAATACCGGTAAGCAAATACAATATAAAATTAGGGTTTCTAAAGAGTAGTGACATAATTATGGTAATTAGACACGTCATGCTTTAGTTGATCGTACCTTAAGTTTTTCTGGCTGATGAAAACTGTTCTAAATATTTTGAGGACCGTGCATTTTGAAAGTACAATGCGGTTAGAATCCGACCTGAGACTTCAAGACACATTCAACTAAGCACTAAGTTTTCAAACGTATCATCGATTGTGAGAGATGCTTGAAATAATGATGTTTGTTAATTTTAGATTGGTGGTGAGGAATCTGGGATCATAGGAAGTAAATATAATTTAAACAATCATTTTGTACATAACTGTTATCTTCTACAAGTATCTTATTAATATTTTTTATAATTAAGCATGTTAAAGCAATTGCAAAAAAGAATTACAATACAGTTACATGGTAAACATACATTTTAAGATTTTACAATACAGTATTGGTTAAACGTTATTCTTAGAGAAATGTTATAATATTGGCAATCTTTTTTATTTAAAAGATAAATGATCAGTATCATTTTTTTAATTTTGCTTCCATGATTTTCCACTTATCGCCTCTGCCAACCTGTTTGTCCAAAATACAATATTCCTTTACATTACTTATATAACCTTTAAGTGTTGGTTTTAGCATAGAATGTTTACACAAATAAACATACCTTTTAGAAATACATACTATATTATTTTTAGATATTGTAGTATCATTGGTTTCAATGAGAGCTAAGATTTTGAAATGCATTTTTCTCTGAACCACCATGAATGGATGAGTTCATTTCTCTTATTTATGAACCAATGATCTTATTACTAGTAATCTTTATGGCAAAACAAATTAGAATGCATGCTATGCATTAGTGTGAGTTATAACTTACTAAAAGATACATGTGACCTTTCAAAGTTAGTTTTTTAGTTAGTTTCAAAGATTTTTCGAAGTCCTTCAAAACCACTTTTTGAAATTAAAAAAAAGAGTTTCTCATATCACTCTTTGATAACATTTGGTAAGGCTACAGTATAACCGAAAGTGATTCTATCTTTAAGTACAACTGAGTTGTAAATTAGCAAGAAGGCATCTTCCCTCGTGTATTAATATCTGTGTTTATTCATTTCGTTTATATTTCCAGATCCAGAAGAGAATAACAATGACACGTGTAAGTTAAAATATTCCAGATAAAATTGGCATATCACTTTATCGTCTTTAAACACTGACTTCTGTTTCAAAAATGTGTTAGAACACAGACGTAGCTGGGGCGATGTTTTTCTTTTTTGCGGTCAATATTTTAGCTATTTAACACGTCATATGGAACCCGTAATTAGATTCTTTTATTGTATTAACTTAGTAATATAATAATATTTTGAACTATATCATATATATATTGTATTGTCATGTACATTTCATTTCAGCCCTCTACGAAGGGGATATTGTTTCTCCACCCGTTTTGAAAGGCGTTGCTGAATCAAGGGTAAGTTTCATTGAGTTATATACATTGAAAGGGGGGCGAGTTGTTTGTAGAATGAATCGGGGGATTTTTTTCATGAATTTCGCTTTAAGATTACACCATGTAATCCAAAAATATATTTCTCATTTTCAAAGATAATCCATGGATTAACACCCAGGTATTTTTATTTTTCAAACTTCAGAGGGCTGGGAATCAATGTGCTCAACGCTTTTGAATACGATAAATGTTGTTTTAAATAGGTTTTACGTATGCCAATAATTTCTCAAATTATGTAAGCTGAATGCATTCCTTAATCCCTAGAATGCCTATCATATAACATTCTTTTGTCTTGGCCACTTAATATGTTTTGTTGCTGTCTGATCATCAAATCAAATTGTTGTTATTTAAAGATGTCAGTCAAATCTGGTGAAACAGCACAACACTAACCTAAATAGCACAAGTACATATTATGTAACTCATCCATAATATTTCATGCATCAGGTATTAAGGCTAAGGGGATTAACTTTTACACATAAACTGAGCTGACAGATGTGTATGCTTACATGTACAACTTCCAGGATTGTAAGAATTCAAAACTTGTTGATAGCCATATTTTCCTGAATGTGACATCGAGATATTATGGCATTTATGAGTGGTAAAACATGAAAAAAAGCATTTTCATTTAAAATTAGCATATGATTTGAATTGATGCCAAGAAATGTATTAGTTAACTGTATCCGTTTTACATCCATTGCAGTTGGCTACATTATAAGACAAGGCATTCACATGCAAAATGTCAACACCTGCCATTTGTTACAGACACCAACTGCCAAACACCAACTGCCAAATGATAAACACCAACCACTGAACACCGTCCACAAAAAAGTTTGAGACCATAACAATATGTCACCACTTGTGGTGGTGACATAAAAATGATCATGGAAAATTGTACTTTTTTAAAAAAGTAGGAACTTCTGAGGTTATTAGAAAATTGGAAGACAAGGAAGGATTCTGGCTTTAAGATATTAGGGTTATAAATTGCAATGAAACTAAAACAAAACATTATTTTTCTCACATATCACAGTGTATATTCAAATCACAAATACGATATCATACAATTACAATAATTTATGTCTTATAAATAAGTACTGCCTTTCCATCCATAATTGATGTTGATGAAGATTGTGTTTCCAGTTTGATTTATGAACAACATTCATGGTTTTATTTATTATGTTCATTATAATGTACAATGTGATTGATAATCAATTCACACATAGCTAGGTTTGAATATTAAACTCCAGCCAAATAGAGCCAGCGCAATATTTCAACCTTTGTAACCCTTGCAAAAAGATTTTCTTGCAATAAAAATGTGAAAATAATAATTGATAATTATCACATTATTGTTATTATTTCATCCACTCATGTTATTTGTCCTGGACTTTGCACACTCAAGACATCCTTAGTGCTATCATTCTACAACTCATTAAGCCATGGCATTAAATCCTTTTCATGCAATATGTGATATAAGACAGTTCCAAGGGTGGTGATATAATAATAAACTGTAGGCTATAGTATAGCGTAATGAAAATAGATTTTAAGGTAGATATGTCTCGATATTTTTCACTAATTTTCATGATTACAAATACCGATAATCAATGAAAGGGACAATATTTTCACATTTGTAATTGTATGTGTATGCATGGTCCATGGTGTATGTTACCATAATTCTTTATATCCACTTAAAATGTCAAAAATATTGCTCAGTTTATAATTATCAGATAATTTATTCATCACCAAAATTAGTAAAAATTATCAACATGCAGAACTACCTTAAAGAGTTTAATCTCTCACTCAGTCACAATCGTGTCAACCAAAACTGTATTTGTGATACATAATAAAGGATTATACAGCTTACCATACGTGTGCAATATATATAGCATCCACACTGACATCTTTACAGAATCATATATAATTTTTGAATATAAACTAACTTTTTTTTTTTTTAATTTTTTATATTTCCTTTATTTCATAATACATCATACAAACAGATACAGGGCCTACGCCGAAGCATTATTGGCCCTGTTGAAGTAGTTACAATATAAGTTAAAATAGGTCACAATGTAAAAATGATAGATATAGAACATATTTATGAACATGAAAATAATCTTGAAAACATGAAGACAGGTCAGAGATATATGTATAAATTAATGAATATTGGACTATTTAACTTCCTTGACAATAGAGTGTAAAAATTCTGTTGTTAATTCAATAGCCTTTTTATTTGTAATTGTGTCAAGAGAAGGATCTGCAAAAAGTAGAAAGTCTACCCTGTCTTCCTGTTTTCTATTATTAAAAGAGTTTAAATTAAAGGATGGCAGTCCCCCTAGTTCTCTGTGAAAATTGAGTCTTTGAGTATTAAAAAGAGGGCAATGGAGCAATAGGTGTTTGGTTGATTCAGTAGAATGACCACATTTACATTTGGCATTTGGAATATTTTTGAAGTTATGTGTAAAAAGATGCTGCCTAAAAATGAGATCACATCTCGTTTTATTTAAGACAATTTTTTTATATCTGGATAGGTTTAATTTTGGGGTTGTGAATTCTTTCTTTTTCCCATTCAAAAATGTTCTTATTTTATACTTGAATGAGTTGCGTGAGTGTGCTTGTTTCAGTTCATCAGGTAAATTATCCCATAATTTAATACTGGATAAAGCTGTAAACTTTCTAAGTTTAGCAGATACTTTGAATGGGATCTTAAAATCATTGCTACGACGAAGTCTTTGGTGGTTTACCTGATTCTTATACTGTTCAAAAACATTTGAAACATATGAAGGCATCTTATAATTATTTACAAAGTCAAACATAAAAACTAGTTTTTTTCTTTTCTTCGATTGGATAAGGATCTCCATCCAAGACATGCCATCACCTTCTCAGAGTTTGACCCTTGGATGCAACCACTTACAATAAGACCCGCTCTATATTGGACTCTATCTAAACTTGCTAAGAGGTTTAGATTTGCGCTGTCAAAAATAATATTGCCATATTCGAGGTGTGGGAGAATGAATGAATAAACTAACTCAACCCAATAAGGCGAGTACTAAAGAATTTACTTACCTGCCATCTAAAAATCTGCTTTGAACTACCATTAAATTCCTCCAAGAGAATATTCTAGGGATTATGGAATGCATTCAGCTTACATAATTTGAGAAATTATTGGCATACGTAAAACCTATTTAAAACAGCGTTTATCGTATTCAAAAGCGTTGAGCATCAATGATTCCCAGCCCTCTGAAGTTTGAAAAATAAAAATACCTGGGTGTTAATCCATGGATTATCTTTGAAAACGAGAAAAATATTTTTGGATTACATGGTGTAATCTTAAAGTAAACAAAATGTTTTAAAGTGTATTGATGTTTTTTGGATGAAAAACATAAGCGAAATTCATGAAAAAAATCCCCCGATTCATTCTACAAACAACTCGCCCCCCTTTACTCGAAATCAATACACATGGTTTGACGGATAATATGTACCCTTGTTTAGGAAGAATAATATGCTTGCTTTCAAAGCTGAAAAGGATGTTTGAATTGAAGTTTATTATGCATAGTCTAGTTGATACAAAGAATAGAGAAATGGAAATACTATGGATCGTGAGATAAATACAATATATGTGAGTGTCCCGTATTTGGCCCTATATAGGCTAATTCTTCTGAAATAAGGCACGTTCTTTAAGTGGTTTTGTTTCAATCTAAAATGGCTGCCATAGTCAACATTGCAGTGTACTGTCCCCAATAGCTTCTGACGTAGATAACGTTTTGATACGATATACCATGAAAGTTGCGTTTTCTTCATTTTAATAGTACCGTAATGCTTTGAACATGAAGTCACCTGACATGAGTGCTTGGTATGAACTATGGTATTTTAAAGCTAATAGAGAACCAAGAGGAAAGGTGTTCTACGAGTTTGATTCTTCTCTATGTAAGTATTTTGCTTTTGTACTCGTTTTTTCCAGTTAGACTTCTGCCCCGTGACTGAATATTTTGTTTATTTTAAATACTTTATATATGAGAAACAAGTCAAATTCTTTACTTCAGAGAATATTTTTAATATTTATTTAATATATTTTTAATATTTTTAATATTTTTAATATTTTTAATTTATTTTTAATTTATTTTTAAAAAAAAAATTCTCTGAAGTAAAGAATTTGACTTGTTTCTGATATATTAACCAGAGAGATGAACTTACATAGAACTTTATATATGGTTAAGGTGATTGCCTTTAGATGTGGCATATCTAACAAATAACATACAAAGGCCATGGGCTGTTATTTGAAGTTGGGCCACCAATGAGATACTTAATTTCGTTTGAAATATTTTTAAATCGTTTTATCAATTCCAGCTTCCAGACAAAAGAACGACATCCTGTCTGCAATGGAGGAGATACAAATTAAATCAGGGGGAGCGACATCTAAGTGTATTCAATTCATCCCGAACAATGGCAATTTAAGGGATCATTTATTGATAAAAAGTACATCATCATCGTAAGTATATAACCTCTTTGTAGATGTATAAACCAATATCAAGATATGTAAAGATTAGCGCATGATAAGTTGGCAATTGAATACCTCATATGGTAATCTTTAGTATCCATATTTCTTTTATCAATTCCGTCATTCACCCAACTGTACAAAGGACTGCTAATGAGTTGGTGAACTAATTTCAGTGTTTTCTTATAAAAAGAAAAATACAAATTATCAGGTTTTATTAGGTTTGGTCATCGAATCGTAAAAATATATATTCATATAATTGCTTTTGTAAACCTAAATGATATTTTGTTCAGCATATTGAATCTACAAATATTGAATGCAATTAAACATCTATCCAAACCTAGCTGCAACAAAATGTACACGATGTAAATGTTGTCGGAAAGGAGTATCTAAGAAAAATTAATTAAAATAATTACCCCTGAAAATATGTAAAGGAATATATATTAAGGATTCGAACATGACTGTATTCATGCCTTTTATAAACTGAACAAAAAAAAAAAAAAAGTCAATGCTTCAGCTGGGTTATATTCGAGAACAATCCCCCGGCTCTGCACTAAGTGTTTCGTTCAGTGCACTCATTGGTCAGTTTAGGCTGTTCCGTTCTTTTCGCATCCCCCTCTCGTCTGCAAAATTCAAAATGGCAGGGAGAAATTTTCCGGAGCCAAAATTTTCTGTCGGAGCAATAGTAAACTGTAATCTCAATAATTTCAATAATTATCAATGTAGTAGATATGCGTGAAACCAATAAAATAGGCCGATATGTCAATAAAAAACTTAAGTCGGGGTCAGGAGGTAAGTAAACAAATTGGAACAGCCAAGCGCTCAACCGGAAGTAGAAATGAAAAAGTGGAAATGAACATCGAAATTGACGATTTTGCAATATTATGGTGAGTTTTCATGTTCGAATCGTAATATAGACCTCAGAGTAGGGATACTAGTTTCGAATACACCCCTTAGGTCTAGGCACAAAGGCTTTCGAACCCCTCACTCCCTTCGGTCGTTCGGGGTACAAAAGGCCTTTGTGCCAAGACCTGCGGGGTGTATTCGAAACTAGTAGCCCTGCTCTTCAGTCTATATTTCTTAAATACATTTTAATTTTATTTTATATTCATTAAACCTACAAGCCCTAGGTGGTGGGGAGAAGGCCCTCCACTTGTAAAATCTTTATTAGTAAAGTAAGATAATAAATGGTTAATTAATTTAGTTCGACAAATCAAACATTTATTTTCAAGGTGTCAGAGCAGTGGAATAGGTAAAGACAAGGAGGAGAGACAACCTTACATCAACCTTGGCCCTGGGTGCTTTGTAATTGGTACTATCATGCACGAATTGCTTCACGCAGTTGGGTTTTTTCACGAACATGTCAGGAATGATCGAGATGATTACATTGAAATTATCACCTCTAATATCAAAAGTGGTTACATTTCTCAGTTCGCGCAGCCAGAGTTTTCAAACGATCTCATTAGTTACACGCCTTATGATTACGACAGTGTTATGCACTATGGCAAATATACATTCTCCAAGGACGCTGGTCGAGGATTGCAGACAATACGTATAAAGTCTGGAAGATCTACTAATCTCGAAATTGGCCAGCGAGATCACCTCTCTAAAAGTGACATTAAAGACTTACAGGTTATGTATTCTTGTCCTGATATCGGTGAGTCAACTTTGATTTATGTTTGTTTATATTTTTTGTTCTTCATTTTCTCCTGTGTTTCGACCCAACTCATATTTTGTTGGCTCTGCATTTACTTCATTTCACGTTTCTCTCAGTTGAATCTTTCAAACTGTTACATGGTTGTAGTCTTGCGCAAGTTGGTGTGCGTGACGTTTTGACACAAAAATATTTAGCCATTATGTCCCTATCATTGAATATATGCCTGAAGTCTGACGTCAATATAGCCCGAGCTTGCGAGGGTTATATTGACGACAGACTGAAGGTCTATCCATGAAGGTATTATGTAGAATAATGCGTGAAAAAAGACCAAAATTTTACACGATTCCAGTCGAAATCACTTTGTTTCCATGTTTTGACGTCATACAATTGTCATGGTAAAAAAGTTCGGCGGCTATACAGGAATATATAGCCAATGCTTCGCTAGGTATGTAATACAAGAAAATATACTCGATCCTCAGACTCTAAAGTGACTTTGATTATTTTTTATGCTATGATTTCAGGAGTTGCCGCTGGCGAGGAGGCCGCTACTCCCCCAAGTGAGTACAATGCCATATTTGGTAATCACAAATGTATCTGGAATTTTGATCATTTATATGAGTCCAAAATCCCAGTAAAATAATTTGGGCCCATTAATACCAATTTACCGTGGTAGAATTTTTGTTGCAAAACAAATGTTCGACTTTTATGCATTTTTTCCATTTCAGACTATGTTTGTACTTTTGAAGCTGATGATTTAAAATGTGGATTTGTAAATGGACACTCGTCTATCTGGAAGAGTACACCAGTGTCGAGAATAGGTGCAAAATATTATGATGCCACATTCAGCTTCCCAAGTCAAAATATAGGTACGTGGAACTGTAAGATTCGAAAACTATTAAAACAATGTAAAGCTAAATGTCATAAAATACATATCGCTATTTTAGGCTCGTGGACAAACTACCAATCATCAACCAGCATATTTAAGACATCCTTCTTATTTGCGCTTCATAATATTTGATACATCGCTTCAAAATGTTTCAGGAAATGTGCTATACATGGCACCTGGGAGAGCCACCACCGACGCCTTGTTTACCGCTAATGTACCACCTGCCGAATATTGCCTTCAAATCAACTATTTTTGCCACGGAACAAACAGCAAGGCACAAGTCTACTCTGGTATGAAGGGTACAAAGAAGCTGCTTTACACATTACCAACATGTAAAGATTTCACGTGGTATTACACCTGGATGGGAATTGACATGTCAACTTCGGGAACGGTATGTATATTTATATTCTAATAGAGAAGCCCGGCTTTATTATTATGGGTAGGTGTGCGTGAATGGGCAAACTTATGGTCCTTGGTGGATAGGCTTGTGATATTAACTTGCCATTTTGAAAATGAAGGTATAAGAAAAATATTCGTAATCAGGTTCTTGGAAAACCTATCAAGTGAGGACAGTAATCCCATGTGTACTTATTGATCACCCCTCGTAGTATCACTTTGACACAATTATAGCTAAATGTATACCAATAGAGTGGCCAGTTACAACAGTAACAATATTATGAGCACTGCCTTTTTGAACACCCTGTATATTACACATACATGTTCTTTACTCATTAATTTGTCTTGTTCCAGATTGAGATACATGGTTTACGTGCAAACATTGGACATTTTCTACTAGACGACATTAAGCTTATGGAAAAACCAACCGACTGGAAAGACTGTAACCAATAAGAGTGCTTACAACAATTACAAGCACTGTTGTTAACCTAGTAACCATATATAATGGAATTGACCATGTTTATCATTACATATTTCGTACGCGTTTATTAAATGTTTAGCAGAATTTTTACAGAGAAGAACTACTCTAAATTATTTGATATTTTGATACATGATAGCTACAATATAACATTTGCTTCTGAAATATGATTATTATTATCGTACATAATGACAAAATTAATGAACAGGCAGGTATACAATTCTCAATATTATGATGTTTTTATTTTAGGAATAAAGACCGAAATTTTATGATTTATGGCGTAATATATGACCGAAATTGTTATTCTGTTCATTGTCGAAATCGCGTAGAGACTGGGGTCTTAGGCGATGGTCATATATTTGACATAATTATATTATAAAATCGAGGTCTTTGTTACAACTCTAATATGATAAACAGAGAACTATTTGCATTAATTTATGAATTTTAGCGGTCATACATACTCCAATATAGACCTAGCTATTGTGATGTCACATATTATATCAGAATTAGAAATAATATTCTAGTAAACATAATTGGGGAAACATATATTCATTGTATTATGATACCATTCTTTTCGAGGGGGATTCAATTGACTCCTAGCATTCATTGCCGATTCCGTAACGTCAATACCGTATGGTAATGTGTTCCACGCGTGGCGGCTTGCAAAATGGCATAAAGATAGATGATAATATTACCACAATTGTCATTTCTCGATTCAATATTTGATCTAGAGATAAACATTTAGGTAGGAAGATGAATTACTAAATCTTCCCCTGTCAGCAAGGTGAAGATCAGGAAGGAATCTCGGTTGCTAATCCTCTTTTATATGTTTCATTACTTTAAATGATATGAGAATTTCAGCAAACGACAACGAGCATACCCGGAAATGTACCTCTGAATAAATAATTATTTAGATGAAGATATATAGTCATTCATCGATATTGGGATTTTATCCCTCTTCGTGTATATTAGATTTTTGATCACTGAATATTGACCGACACAACAAAGGACTTCGTGCTTGTTTATTGCATAGTAAGCTTAATACATTTTCACCTACCAATGTAATGATGCCATGAAAACGCAAAATACAATCCGATTTTAAAACAATAAAAATGCCGCTAGTCCTGATTATTAGGCTATTAAAGGAGTCAGTCCAACTCTATTCAAAGGACAAATTGAGTAATATAAGCAATAGTTCAATTAAAATATGTTACAAATGTATGTGAATACAATGCAATAAAATGAGTTTTTGCAAGAAAGTGTTAATTTGTTAATTTAATGGTAAAAATAAAGTTCGGAATGTATCCCGATCTTGAGTTTCTTTGAAATTGTATATCCTTAAAGGTAAATTACTCGTCAGACCATGTTTATCCTAATATGATAGCTATAACCATATACATACGTTTCATGTTTAGCAAAACACAGAAAATGTTTTAATATGGTCAATATTGATCACTTAAAAATTTAGTGCTCAATTCCAGTTCCCCAGAATGATTAAATCCTTTTAAAAGTCACTTCTTTTATTCTAAGCTGACAAGCCCTGAAAATATTTTTGCACATAAATTAAGAACAACTTGTCTAGAAGTTCAATTAAATTCAATTCAATTTATTTATTTCATAATTCTTATATAATATACACTATAAAAACAAGCCGCTAGACACCCTAGTGGGTATATGTTTAACAGAAATTATTAAAATGACATCTAGACTACATTATAAAAGAAAACACTTTTATTATGTTACATGTAGGTATATAAAAATGGTATTAACAATTTATCTAAGGATGTACAATGTAAAAATGTTACAAAAAAATCAGGTACCAGTATAAAATCAACGATACAGTATGATATTGGTATTATACATTATCGATAGATGAGTAGTTTTTTATATGAAGATTTGAAAATATTTAGAGTGGAGCATTTTTTAATATCATGTGGTAGAGCATTCCAAAGATTATGACCTAGATAGCGAAGGGAAAGTTTAGAGCATTTAGGGATATGCAAATAATGCAATTGTCTTGTGTAATGATGATGAATATTAATGTTGATATCAAACAAGTCTTGAAATAGATTTTTTGGAAGACTGGCGTGCTTATTAAAGATTTTGTACATGAACTGACCAGTACAATATCTGTTGACATCAAAAAAGTGATTGTGTGCTACTTATAGTGATATAAAGGTTCTATCGTGTGTCACAAATTAAGGTGCTTATGGAATTGTTTTATGACAGGTTATATGATGTGTCAGTATATGTCATATCCTGTGTCAATATAGGTTCCATTTTGTGTCAGAATGTAAGGGACTTATCAAATTGTTTTATAAAAGGCTCTATACTATTTTGTGTCACCGGAGGCTCTATTTTGTGACAATCTAAATTAATTAGCTTGGATATTGTGTCACCATAGTTCATAAGGCAACTACAAAAACGTTTCGAATGAAAAGTCGTATGATGTGTCAGCCAAGGATCTTTCTGTGTTACCATAGCCATGGGCGTAGCGCCCGGTACGCTGGGTACGCACAGGCGTACCAGATGGTTGCAAATTCGCTCCAAATACAACCAAGTTTCAAAATTTTCCTGGGGGAGAACCCCCAGACCACCCTAAATGCTTGTTTTTTGATTATTGACTCTTGTTCCTGTGGTGGTGGCGTACTACTTGGAAAAATAGCGCTACGCCCATGATAGCGGTGGAAGTCAATTGCATAATATTTGATAAGTTTCCCACCTAGGTATCACGAAAAACAACAATAAGCCCCTGTGGTGCAAATTACATGGTCACACGTTTTCAACAAAAACAGCTCACCCAAGCGCACGTACACTAGTTATTACGATGTGTCAAACGTGTCGGCTTACCCCGTGTGTCAACCGCATCGGCTTGCTGCTAATGCACCACAGGAGTTCCATTGCAATAAACCGTGATGTCTTTTAGAAGAATTATGTGAGTGTATGTGCTCTTGGATGAGCTGTTTTTGTTGAAACCACAATTCACTTACCGAGTAGAAAATACACCATATTACCAACTATACAGACGTGGAAAGATGAATTTATCTGACATAAAGTGGATTGTTGGTATTTGCTGTGTAATTGTGCTGGGGCAAAATCATAATCTTATATGTTGGAGTGAGAGGAGGCCATCTTGAGCATTGAAAAATATGTTCTTGACAGTTTCGACTTCGTAACACTAACAATTTGGTGAGTATACATTTGTGAAGTTATGAACAAACATTTGCTTATCGATGCACTAATGTGCGCAGAGTCTAGTTATAAACTACCCTCTGCCTAGTATAGGCTATATTACAGTTTAGCAGCCTCACCCCAAAGATTGGTACCTATGACAGTCCAGGTAATAAAGCATTTCAAATCTACCACCTGACCTTTTTTCAACTAATCAGCGAAGTTGGAAGAACACGTGTTATATACGTGCATATTTATTTTGCGATGATGTCAGAGGAAATGATCATATAGAAAGTCGTATTTCGACGACGAAGTCTGATTGGCTCGGTGAGATCAGAGATTTATTGAAAACTGAAAGAGTGAAGACGAAACTCTCTTTTATGCAAAGGGTATAATGAACATTTTAAATGGTATGTTATGTTTTTGCATAGTAATTTGTTCATCAATTAATCAATGTTCGGTGTACAGGCATCTGACATCCATACGGGTGCATATAGTTACATATGATTATATTACACTCCCCTCCATAAGTTTGGCAACCTTAGCTCCCCAATTGAATTACGTGTTAGAGCCTCTTTACCTTTGAATTTTTATTTAATTAACCTGCGATGAAAATACTTACACTATTTCCAATACCTCAGAATTTTCTCAATTTTTTCCCTCAATTACAAAAGGTCGAAAATTGATGATACATTTGATGAATTTTTGAAAATCGACATTCCCATGTAAGTTTGCCTCAAGTCATATGACAGAATAGCTATCCTTCTGAGTCCTTGCAAAAAAATACGAGTTAGGTAGGCAATCTAATTTGCTAACTTTATTTAACAAAATATTGATACGTTTCTTCAGGTTCAACAAAGTTATAGGGCTTTAAAGTCAAAATAGTTTTTCAAAAAACCTCCCCCATAGAAATAACACAGGAGGCGAAAATGATTTTCAAAAATGACTTTCAAGCTCTGTAACTTAAGTATACTATTCATCAGGTAAACTAAACACTTATTCTACAAAAAAAGTTAGACAATTCAATTTTCTATATAAAAATAGTTTTGCTAAATCTTTACTGAATATATATCCTGATTTCTCATTTGCCCCGAACCCACCATTTCCCATTGGTTTACATGGGAATGACGATTTTCAAAAATTCATCAAATCTATCATCAATTTTCGACCCATTGTAATTGAGGAAAAAGGGTTTAGAGGTATTGAAAATAAAGTCAAGTTACGTTTCTATCAATATTATAAGTTATTGCATCGCAGGTTTAGTAAATACAAATTCAAACGAACATTATAAATGGTATGTTATGTTTTTGCATAGTAATTTGTTCATCAATTAATCAATGTTCAGTGTACAGGCATCTGACATCCATACGGGTGCATATAGCTACATATGATTATATTACACTCCCCTCCATAAGTTTGGCAACCTTAGCTCCCCAATTGAATTATGTGTTAAAGCCTTTTTACCTTTGAATTTTTATTTACTTTACCTGCGATGAAAATACTTACACTACTGACGGAAATGTCATTTGACTTTATTTCCAATACCTCAGAATTTTCTCAATTTTTCCCTCAATTACAAATGGTCGAAAATTGATGATACATTTGATGAATTTTTGAAAATCGACATTCCCATGTTAACCAATGGGAAATGGTAAGTTTGCCTCAAGTCATATGACAGAATAGCCATCCTTCTGAGTCCTTGAAAATGATTTTCAAAAATGACTTTCAAGCTCTGTAACTTAAGTATACTATTCATCGGGTAAACTAAACACTTATTCTACAAAAAAATGTAGACAATTCAATTTTCTATATAAAAATATTTTTGCTAAATCTTTACTGAATAGATATCCTGATTTCTCATTTGCCCCGAACCCACCATTTCCCTTTGGTTTACATGGGAATGACGATTTTCAAAGATTCATCAAATCTATCATCAATTTTTGACCCATTGTAATTGA